AACAGTGTTGCGCTATGCGGTGAGAAAAGGATGGTTATGCATATGTCAATATTATTAAACATGCACCAGGATAAGTCATGACCAACTATGGCTGTGATGTCTGGTGAAGCTTCTGACATTGAAAATCAAGCTTAGCATGTAGCCACTTTGATCAACGCTGTTACATCTTACACTACCTAGTCACATGGACATGTATCCTACTGTGTTTTCGAGGGTGTAAGGATTTATTTTAAGCAAGGGCGAAACACCGACATAGCCTTCGGTTAATCCAATATTTTTGGGGCTGGCGGTGGAACACGTACCGCACACACGACAAATCAACTGGTTGCGTGGTACGAATCTGCGCAGAGACTTTCCCCTGTATTTCCCCCACCTTGTCTCTTCTTGGAACGAGGTTCCGCCTAATAGAAGACCCACAATGCATTGCTGCATCCCCCACCCCTAATAAAAATCCCAGTAAAGTACTTATAGGGTCTGTGTACCTGTTTTCAAGGCATCAAGTTTTCGTGGTTTGACCTTGAAGCAACGCATAAATGCGTTGCTTCAAGGTCAAACCACGAAAACTTGATGCCTTGAAAACAGGTACACAGACCCTATAAGTACTTTACTGGGATTTTTATTAGGGGTGGGGGATGCAGCAATGCATTGTGGGTCTTCTATTAGGCGGAACCTCGTTCCAAGAAGAGACAAGGTGGGGGAAATACAGGGGAAAGTCTCCATAGAAGTGAACTGGGCCTGGAAACCACAATAATGAACCACATTCAGTGAGGACAACCACACAATGACAAGTGAGGGGCAACTTTAGTCAAATGTTCCGGGATCTCTTTTGTGCTACTCTTTTGTCCCTCCAAAAGACCTTCACAATACCACCACCAATAGACACCAACAAAAAAAGCACAAATTCTTGATAAATACGAAAGATCCATTTTAGAAACTCCATTTCTACATGTACCAGTTTGCTCTTGGATACCCACTCCCGCCATTTTCTCCATGCTAACTTTTGGGGCAAGGAGAATGAATTCCCATAATAAGACTCTTCTGTACTTCTCTACTATATGTCTTTACGTTTTGAAGCTATTACACAAAGTGGCTGAAATTGCCAGTAGAGACTCTCTTTGAACCTCGATAAGCAACGGGCCATACACACAGGAAATGCCATTGATGGGGTGCGCCAGCCAATAACAAAAGTTTATAAAAAAGAACTCAACTCCAGCAATTGAATAACAACAGCCTAACAGTTTAGCACTTTAGTCTGGGAGGGCAAGGTCGAAATATGTCAGTGGATATGGCGACCACAGCGGGTAAAGTGGGATCGATTGTTTGACCGGCACAAGAATGGTGGCTTTTCTTGAATTCATGCAAGACCGAGTTCTTTGATGATACGCGTGGGTGACGAATGGTATGCCTGTCATTTCGGTGAGGCGCCTGGTTCCTTATAGGGGGGCCATACGTGCAACTGCCCCCTTGGTGTGGCGGTACGGTCTATTGATCAAGCTGTATGGCCCACCGGATCACGCCACCATTCAGCTCCGCCTACTCTCTGGACGTGGACAATTTGGCAAGGAGTGGCAAGGAGTGGCAAGTACTGTTATCAAGGGCAACTTGGGACCTGATTGTGCAGAGTTAACCCAGTAAAAACACTTGATATCAGAACAAAACTGGTAAGGAAAAGAAAAAAAGCTGGAATGTTGTCGGGCTGTGCGCATCCTACGAAATTCATGTTGACACTAGAATGACAGCTTTGTAATCTTACAATAAGCATCTATACAATAGGCTGGTTGTCAGCCCCTTCATTACTTGCAGAACTATGAATGGAGTTAGGGAACCAGTCCACAAGTGATATCTTTGTCAACTGATGGGTACACACCTGTAAATCGATCCGCCAAGCTCATGAATAAAAGTTATACCCTCAAAATATTCTATATTAGAGAGTTCTGAGCGCCGTAAAATTGGGGAATTGAAGAGATATGGTAGTGACCCTCTAGCCCGGACTTGGGGCTTCCAATTCTGAGCATTTTGGATGCTATTGGGCTCGAAAGTGGCGCTATTTTGCCATGTTGTGGAGGGATCGTTTTTCAAGATGGCTACTTTTCCGCTTTGGGGAAAATAGGGGTCGTCTTCTTTGCGTGAAAATATCTCGAAAAGTCAATGGTCAACCCACCATAAATTGAAAAGAAAATGAAAGATGACACATTGATCATCATTTTTCTGTGCAGCTTGAATACCTGTGAGAGTTTTGAGTATTTTTAAAAGAATTTTGAAGTACGGGCATTTAGCACTAGTGTCTATGGGAGTTTATTTGCAGGTATGCACCCTATAAAGAATCACAAAGATGGCCGTTTCGCGCATGCGCTGTGCCGCGGCAGTGGTCTTTTCAGTGGGCGGAACCTACGGGGAGGGGGAAAAAGTGTTTTAAAGGTATCAACAAGGGTTTTTTGCCGTAACGGATGCTTCCAAATCATAAGGGAGCAGTAGGCTATCACCCGATTACAACAATTGATACTTGAAAAGGGGGGGGGGGGGGCATTTTGAGCTTAAAAGTAGCTGGAACTCAATTTATTGTCGCTGGGGGCGCTCTACAGCTTAGCAGGGGCAAAACAATCACTATTTTCGGGCTTAATATCTACCTCGGATAATATTTTTCTTTCATTTTTTTTCTTCAAAATATTGACTTTGGAGATATTCTGCTTGTCCTGAATGTGATTTTGTGTTAAAATTTAAAAGTTGCCTGCTATTATAGGGTACACACCTGTAAATCGATCCGCCAAGCTCATGAATAAAAGTTATACCCTCAAAATATTCTATATTAGAGAGTTCTGAGCGCCGTAAAATTGGGGAATTGAAGAGATATGGTAGTGACCCTCTAGCCCGGACTTGGGGCTTCCAATTCTGAGCATTTTGGATGCTATTGGGCTCGAAAGTGGCGCTATTTTGCCATGTTGTGGAGGGATCGTTTTTCAAGATGGCTACTTTTCCGCTTTGGGGAAAATAGGGGTCGTCTTCTTTGCGTGAAAATATCTCGAAAAGTCAATGGTCAACCCACCATAAATTGAAAAGAAAATGAAAGATGACACATTGATCATCATTTTTCTGTGCAGCTTGAATACCTGTGAGAGTTTTGAGTATTTTTAAAAGAATTTTGAAGTACGGGCATTTAGCACTAGTGTCTATGGGAGTTTATTTGCAGGTATGCACCCTGATGGCATTTCAGAAGCACTGCCAAAATACACTCAATGCAGACCGATAGAGGGCGCTCTGTCAAAATCTATCACAGTGTTTAGGAGGATTTGCAGGATTGCACTAATGCTACACGCAAGTTGAAGCTTGATAAATTTTAATAAATGTGACATGAATTACCCGGAAAATGGAAGATTTGGGAAGAGTTGAAAGGATTCAAGAGGGATCATAGCGAAACAAAAAATGCCTATTGAGATGAAAAATCAGTTAAGTTCAAACTACTTTAAAAAAAAAAAAAAGGTTCAACGTACGCCAATTTGCATTTCCAGGGCCGTTTACAGGCTTGAGCAGCCAACCAAATATTTCCAGCATAGTGTCCCCTGATCAACAAAACGTGTTCAATCTCCCAAAAACTGCTGAGGCAGAAAATGGCAAATCAACAACCTTCGGTACCATTTTTTTTTTCAATTTAGCATGACTGTTGGTGTGACTGATAAAGCCAAAAAAATATTTGTATTGCTCTCACATGCAAAACATCAAGAGGGTCGGTTGGTTGGGGATTTTTTTTTTTTTGGGGGGTATACATAGTTCACATATAGCCTACCCTTTCTTCTATTCCATTAAGTTGTCATTTCCCCTCTACCAATGTACACGAAACATTTAGGCTATAGATGTACTGCATGCGTCAACTATACTATGTACATGCATACATGCGATACCATACAGTGCATCTATATAAACACATGTATACAATGTTTGCAGTACATCACACCACAAGCACCAAGACTCGGCCTCAGTAACATGTACAAAAATACGGTAAATCCGAACTGTACTACCATTAGGTATGTATGTTTTGTAATGAAATGCAAAATTATGGCATTACAAAGACACAGTAATGAGAAGTTTAAGGCCAAAAAAAAAAGTCGCCGGTTTCTGGTATGCGCGCGCGTCGCCATAGCCATGCACGTCGGCAAATTGAAAAAGTTTTTTTTCAATAAAAGATGATGTCTCAAAACCGCCAAACTTACTGGTTTGACTGGAATCCTGCTGCTGCACAATTTTAACGTGTTTTTAGATGGGGTTATGGTCGAGAATAAGCTTTATGTGGCCTCTCTGGACTCCCATATATTTTGCACTAAATCTAGTCGGGCACCATTTGCAGTCATCAGCCGACATTTGAAGCAAAAAAAGCAGGTAAAAAAAAAAAAAAAGCCGCGTCGCCGCACCACTTTTTGGGCAAGCTCCATACCAGAAACCGGAGACTTTTTTTTTTTGGCCTTAGATATGTATGTTTTGAAATGAAATGCAAAATTATGGCATTACAAAGACACAATAACGAGAAGTTTAAAGATTATTTTAATTTTTTTCAAGAAAAAAACAAAATTGAAAAAAAAAAAAACATCAGAGATTTCGATATTTTTTGGTCGGTCGGAGGAGGGCAACACAACAATTTTTTTTTTGGGGGGGGGGGGCATAATGAAAAGATCTAGCGTGTGTTTCTGCAACCAAGCTTGTTTGCTACTCCCTGCCTTGAACTGATCAATCGCAGGGCACAGACCACAAACAGTCCATAACTCCTGCTTTAAAAAAAATTAAAACCGTGCATTTATTCGAGTCAATAACACCACTGGAAAAAAAACAGCCATGCATGGCCTCTAAACTTAGAACCCCTATAATAGGTTTTCCCTGAAAGATCTCACATCAGATTTAGGCAAAGGCTCACTCCAGCGCATCCCTGATTTCTGAAGTTTGTACCTGCCCAGAAAAAAAACATCACTTACATTGGTGGTGAAAAAGATATTAAATTAGAAAGACAAACTTACCCTCCATTGTTGTATCGGCGGCTGGTGGGCTGGCTTGAGCCGAAGGCATCCTGTCCAAGAAATGAGGAGCTTTGGCGGGTCGGTTGAGAGGAAGGGGTTGGGGACAGGCCCAGACTGCCGCTGGAGGTTGCTGGGTTCTGCAGAAGATAAAGGAATCAGCGATCATTCAATGAATTTCCGGTTTTGCCCTTTACAAATGTTATTTCAAAAACACTGTATACTCAGTGCTGTCCGTGGGCTTGCAAGAAAACCGGCAAAACACTGGTTTCTACGTAGTGATGGATTTGCAGGTTTTAAAACGTTCTTAACAAAAGTGTTTAGGGAGTAGGTTCTGTGCCGATATGGATTCAGTCAGCCTGTGACATGAATGGAGCACACTCACCAGCAGTGTTGGAACATCTCTGGTTCTCTGGGTCTGGTATTCCTCCATGGAGAACTGGTCCGGCCACGTGGAGAAGCCAGGCATCTTCTGCATCTTCCGGACTTCCTCGTTGCTTGGGAAGAGCGTCGGGGGTGATGTGGGAGTCCCGCGTCCATCTGATCCATCCTCGATACTCCAATCTGGTGGGAGCCGCTGCTGCTGTTGCTGTTGCAGGTGGCTGCTAGGACTGCTCCTGAACAACCCAGACGGTTCCTTTATCTGAAGGTCTTCAAAGTTGGAAGGGTAACCTTGGGACTTGTGTTCCGGACCATGCTGGGAGTAGGGGAGATGCTGGGGGCTGCGATAAGGGGTGCTGTCATCGCCTTGGAAGGGGAAATTGGATGAGTTTTTGGCCAGGTCAGATGCGTCAAAGCTCCTGGTGGAGGAGAAAGCACTCTGAAAGGGTTTCTGGACGGGGCTTGGCTGCTTCATGGATGCGAACTGATCTTTGTTTAGACTTGACCCTAGGAATCTCTGGCTTTGGATGTCGCCTTGGCTGGCACTGTGCTGGTTGAGCTGGGACAGTAGAGACAAGCTCTGAGAATCGAGGGAGTTGCCTGTGAGGCTTGATCCGAGCTGCTGTTTCAGGCCGAGGTTGCCATCGCCTGGGTCTGGGGACTGCTGCATCTGCTTCTGCAAGGTGGAGAGGAGCTCCAGGATGTTTTGGTTGAGTGTGTTCTGGTTGATGAACTGCTGGGCCAGGTCTTGGTTGGGCTGGGATGGCTGACCAGAGGGTGCAGAGAAAGAATCTCGTTGTTGCTGCTGCTGCTGCTGCTGCTGCCTTTGAAAGGGATCTGACTTGGCCCCTTGAGGGTGTTGCTGCAGTGGTAAAGCCTGATCTGGATGCTGGATGTAAGGTAGCTGAGCTTGCTGCTGTTGTTGCTGCATTGGATTCTGTCTTCCAACTGGCCCTCTACTTTGGCTGAGGATTTTATTGGCGTTTCCTCCCCAAGTTGGAGACGGGGAAGAATCAGCACTACTGCTAACAGCAGGGCCTTTTGGCCACAGGCCTTGGTTTGCATGAGGGTGCGGTTGGGTTGGCTGTTGGGGTTGAGGTGGGGGTTGCTGATGGCTAAACTCATATCCCGATGCTCCGTCCTGATCTTGGGGCTGCTGCTGCTGCCACATGGGATTGGATTTCTCGCCATGGGGATAGGGTGGCCTCTGGTGCATGGGTGCTCGTGGGAAATTGGGTCGGGGACCTTGAGAAGGTGGCATATGGGGTGGTAGGCCATGTGATGGGGGACCGGAGGAAGGCGGACCTTGCATGGTTGGTGGAGGTCCAGGTGGGTGAGAAGGTTGAGGTCCTTGAGGATGCTGCTGCAGGTTTGGTGGAACACTGTGGGGGTGAGGGGGTGGCCTTTGTGGGTGTGCTGGCCCCTGCTGCAAGTGTGGAGGTTGTACCCCTGGGTGTGGGGGTGGTGGACCAGGCGGGTGGGGTCCCCGGGGAACAGGGGGATAAGGAGGAACGTGGTGACCTGAAGGTGGTGGGGGATGAGGTAGCCCACCTGGGTGCGGGGGAACATGCTGTGGGTATGGTGGGGGGCCATGGGGCTGGTTGGGCCAGGGCGGGGGAGGGTGATGCCGGAGGGGCTGCCCAACCGGGTGCCGGAACCCGCTGCTTGGGGAGTGCGTCGGGGAGTGATATGGGTGCTGTCGGCCCTGGGCCTGGATGGGGGAGTGGATTGGGTTTTGTTCCTGGAGGACCCTGCCATCTGCCGGGCGGTTGTGGGCATTGCCCGGTATTGGGATTGGCTCTGTTGCCTTGCTGGCTGTTTCTGAGACCTTGGACTGACTTGGTCTTGGCAGGATGGCCTGTTGATCAAAAACAAACTAAATGAAAGTATGACACAATGCTAATCTAAACAATTCAACAAAAGCCAATCAGAAGATTGTCACTTTCAAACAAAACATAACCAAGAAGTACAAAGAATTCCTCCAAAGGATGAATCCCTACCTGAATGGCAACACTATGCGTCTTGTTCTCGATGCTTCCGTCACTACCCTTCCGCCCCCCGCCGCTGCCCTTCAGTGCCCCCCGCTCGCCGATGGCCGGCTCAGTGCTACTGTCTCTCTTCTTGGGCCCATCCCTTGCCTTCTTGGCCCCGCCCCTATTGGGGGTAGACCCCTGCGCAGCCTGGATCTGCTGATGCTTGCTCTGTCGTTGTTGTTGCTGCTGCTGCTGATGTGACGTCTTGGACTGCTTTTGTTTTGGATGGTGCAGCCGGCGCGTCTGTTCCTCACCGCTCTGGCTAGTGAAGGTGACCTTTGTGGTGCCCTCGCTTGACGGCTCTGTCTTAAGGTGGCTGAGGGAAAGATTCAACCATTGGTGTGATTAATTCTGGCGAACTTCATGGAAGCAACTGCTAATGTGTATCACACTCGGCTCATACGCTCACACTGAATGTTCACCCAACCAATTGGGTTTTCAAATGGCATCATCAAATATTAAGAATGTGGACGACATGATTCCACCTCAGTATTGGTTTTTAATTGTGTTTTCCAGACTCATCTGTTATAAGGTCCGAGTACAAATGAATAATTAATAGCAGAATACAAAGTCTCTGAAAGATTTCGCATTGGAAAATGAGACACTTTTTTTACACAAATGAGCAATAGGGGGTTTTGAAAACCTTTTTTCATCTCTGTCTTCGGCGTTTTCTCAACTTCTGAATCACTGGGAAGCAAACCAAATTGAAATATTCCAACCTCTGGCCTCATACCACACAACTAAATTTTCCTGAAGTAAAACATGTACCAAAATTTAGCAAGAGTTCCTGAAGTCGGGGGCCTAGAATCTCTTGAGGCCACAGACGAAAACAAAGCTGGGCTCTTGAAAAAAAAACACCAAAAGACGTGTTTGACTTACTCTGGATGTGTCTCTGCTACGAGTCTGCCGTGAGCCAGCAGCCTCTTGGCTCTCTCTGCCCACTGTGTCTCCTTGGTTAGAGATTGCTGGATAGCTGTAAACTCCACAGACCTGTTGCCAAATGATAGTAATATTCATTGCACTGTTCTATAAACTCAACGACGTCAGACTAGATAAGTCCTTACCAAGCTGATTCTGTACTGCCGTGCACATGCATCGTTATTTTCCCAGGTGCCTTGATGTCCAAATTGCGTTTGGAAGTGCACAGATTATACCCACGGTTACTGCACAGCGGTAGATACTGAAGGATTCAGAAATGCTCTTAGCAAAAATGCTACGGGGTTAGCATTAATCTTTACCTTACATGGGCCTGCCAAATAAAATACAATAATATTTACCACTGCCAATTATCTGATTCCGTTTGAAATCAAGTTTCCAAAATGCCCCCACTCTCAGAATTTTGTTTTTGAGGCGGGGATAGCACTGCGATGGTCAATCAACATGGCACTGTGGGCTGAAGGGTCAACAACAGAATTGTCATTTTTTTGGTAAACCTGAAGTTTGGAGTGCTGCGGTGCATATTGCAGCCACTGCCAGAAACACCGGGGCAAACCCCTTCTCTTAGCGATAAGTGTTACTGGGTTCTTTAACGTGCATTACACAACACACGGGACTTACGGCTTTACGTCCCATCAGAAGGACGAAGCAATAATGGTAAAGTGCTTTGCTCAAGAGCACAAGCACCATGTTCCCCGTCAGGATTTGAACACCATAACCACTGGATCACAGCACCCCAGAAGAAAGAAAGACCACAGAAGAAAGCAGCATAACAAGCACAAGTCAATCTTTGAGTGAGCAAAGAACAAAGACTCACCCTTGCGCGTCTTGCAGTGGTAGGAACCCATTCAGGCTGATGTCCTCCGGTAAGGGGACCCGGCTGTGTTTGGGAGAGCTGCTGGCGTCGGTCTGGATGCTGTTCAAGACCCTGGCAAATTTACCCCACAGCCTGGTGGGAGTCAAAATGAATCGTGGAAGCATGTTTGTTATTTTGGGTGGAACTGCACTTTTTGTGAGAGAATGGGAGACTTTTGAGACGTTGGTGGCAGCAGACACACCGGTCCTTTTCAATTGTTTACGTCATGTTTAAGCTAAAGCGCGCATGCTCAATATGACGTAAACAATGGAAAAAGGACCGTGTGTTTGCTGCCACCAACGCCTCAAAAGTCTCCCATTGATACAAAATATTTTTAAATAAACCACAAAGGGGAAACTGACTTAGTGCATCATAATAACTTTAAACTTAAACAAAGTAATTGGCTGGAGCAGGGTTTGAACATACGACCTCCAGATTACCATTCCAGTGCTCTACCCACTGAGCCGTCCAGCCCTATGTGGGCGGTTCCTCATTTGGCAATGTCAACATAGGCTGTAAAGCTTAGTTGGTAGAGCACTGGAAAAGTAAGGTCGCAGGTTCAAACCCTACTCAATTTCTTTATTCAACTTTAAAATAACATTTTTACTTACAAAATTCACAACAAGGTAACAAGATAAGATTTGGTAGCTTACACTGATTTGGCCGACATGAACGGATCTTGGAAGAGACTTGGCTGCTGGACCAGCCAATCCAGGAGAACCTTGACTGCTGGTAGTCCGCACCACTGCAGCGGCTTACCGTCAGTCTTGCCGGGTGTGTAATGCAACATCAGTTGCAAGAGGGTAACTAGACGCAACACAAAATGAAAGTAAACAGTTACACATCTCACTGGTTGCAAAAACCTATGATAGAAATCATGTCAACCCTAACCCTCAAGGGTATTTTGGCTAGAAACCCTGCCAAACATAGCAACATGCAACACTTGTGTAAGTGATTGCTAGCTGATTTTGCAGGATTGAGGCAGTGGTCAACCCTCCAAGGAACACATTTAAGAAAATTTTGGAGGATTGAGGCTGTATGCAATTATTTACATGGAGGCAGTTGGAGGATTTTGCAAAAATGCCCAGGGGGTTGGAGTTAATAAATGGTACCCTAAGGTGCATTTTTAGGCTTGCATTAAAAAAAAAAATGAACGAGCCCTTTAAAATTAAGTTGGTGAAGGGGATACCACTCACTTGTCAGGCCAAACACCAGATTCCACGTCCTAGTCTCGTCAGCAGCGTAACACCCATCCTGGACGGCAGCCTGGCCATCCCCCTGGCTCCCCTTGACTGTCTCAGCCTGCGACGATGTAACACCGCCCTCTAGAGTTTCCAGTTGGCGCAGGCAAACGCAGTGCAGAGCGAAAAGGTTGATGGAGGCAATCTGGACCAGCTGCTGGGCCGTCAGGGTCTCCTGGGCCAGGTGGCTACGGAAGTTCTCCTCCAGCTTCTCCTTGATGGCTGAGGCAATCTGCAGGTCTGGGGACGGGGTTGGAAGAGAGAAACTAAGCAACTTAATTGATGTCTTGAGATTTTGCTCATTTTTCGTCTTGTGATTTGCTTGTAGTGTGACGGAATTGCCCAAATCAACCACAAAAGGTAGGCTTGGGAAATTTAACTAAAAACGTGACACAGTTTGAATGCAACTGCGGCCTTGATCATATTAGGTGCTGACTGACACCCAATCTTATGATCACAACTGTACTCGGTTCACACAACATTCAGTGACCAACAAGGCACATTTCTGATGGAATCGACACACATAAAAAGAGTGTCCATGATCAAAGTACTATTACCCAGTTTTTAGAATATGCAGGGAGATACCAGAGGCTCAAATTGAGTCAAGATGTCAATGAGATCAAGAGCTCATCTTGATTTAAAATGAACAGAGGTCGCGACTCCAGCCAACTGCTATTTAGCCTCATTCAAATCAAGTTCATTCGATTCCAATTCACAAATAACCTGCAGGAAAGTGATGAATATACCCCAAGGAAGACAGAGAGGACATACCTTGGTCTCCTGCTGCTAGGTAGACGATGGCGTGGAACTTGATGAAGAAATGAATCAACTCAATCTCCTTCATCTTGAACAGCTTCACCTCATCTCTGAAAGGAGATGAATAGTGAGAGGGTGGAGAACAACCAAGCAAGTGAACAGTATACAAATAAAACATGGTTTGAGGGTTGATATTAGCTTCACCTCGGGAATTTTGTTTGTCAATTTCAAATACCGAGGGGAGCTAAAATAAGCCATGAAAAAAACCCAAATGTTATTTGTTTTACTATACCTCATGCATATCAACAAAAACTTTTTCGAATTACGAATTAGTTTTTTCTGCAAAACATGTGTGTTGTGCATTTGCCACCATCTTTTCATGTAGGTCTCCGGCTCTGCGCAAGTGGCGCACTACCGCTGTGTGCCACTTCCGTGATTGCTTCGTAAAGTGCATGTGTAGTAGACTAGCGCACGGGTAACTCGTGGTTGGAATGGGGAGTTGAGTGGATGTTTACGACCCAGTGTGATACAACCTCAGCAGTGAATAATAATTGTGGTCAAAGAACTTTTCTAGGAGGGAAAAAATTCAAGCAACTTGTATCTTGATATAAAATGAAATTTTTGCCAAAGAGGACATCACCGCTACACTTGTCCCACCAGATTTCTAGAAGGTACTTAACCAGTTCTCAGTGTTGAACCCATGTGCATGGTACGTGGGTTTGAACACCGACGGGGAACATGGTGCTTGTGTTCTTGGGCAAGACACTTTACCACTCTTGGTTGTGAGGGAAGAGACCAGATTGTGTTGACTTTGAGCTGCTGTAGAAAAATAGTCTCATTGCCTGATGAACGGGGGGTAATAAGTAGCGCTTTGTATCCTTTGGCAAAGGCGCTTTTTTAAATAACCACAAACAGGACCCTTGGGAGACACTTAAGTTATAAGTTATTAAGTCATAAGTTATACCTTTTGGAGACATGTGGAATTAGGGAGACGTTTCCCTAATGCCTCAGCCCCTATTTAGAGGCAACATTTTACCGTCACAAATAGGCTTCATAGATTGCTTGTGGTTCAATTAGTAAAAATACCAACATTTGTGGGGGTAGGATAAGGTAAAATTGGGGTAAGGGTCACTAAAGTTGAACAAAAATTTTTGCATAAGTTTATGGGAATAATTGTTATTGAACGTGACGTGACGCACCTGTCAACCAGCTTGGAGAAGGTAGTCTGCAGGTTAGTGGCCGCGGCAGGGAAGGGATGCTTGACAGCTATACTCCTGATGTAGTAGAAGGTCATGGCCAGCTGGTCACCCTTGGAAGCGGCAACGATGGCCAGCTGGTTGTAGGGCTGACCGTTGGAGGGAACCAGGTGGGCTGCCTGCAGGTAGTAGCTCTCCGATTGGTTGGTCTCGTTGCGGTAGCGAGCTGGGAGGTGGGGTTGTTGGGGAGGCAGGCAGAATGATAGTAATATTCATGTCAAAAAGACTGGGCAGTAATTGGGGCCAAACTTCACGGCTCTGCTTTAGCGAATTCCACGCTAAGGCCACACAAAAAAATAAGTCAGTCTCTGGTCAGCGCGCGCGTTGATTTTAAGCATGCGCGTCGATCTTTTTTTTCCCCAAAATATTCCGCGGTAGCTCCAACAGCGCCCTCTATTTCCGCACCTCCTCAATTTTTTTTTACCAAAGAGCACCAAGGAATGGGAAATTGCACCAAGGCAAATGATCGAAAGCACCAAGGCAAATGATGGAGGACACCAATGTACATGAGGACACCAAAAAAGCAAAATAGTACCCCACCTTGTCTGTACAATCCAAGCTTGAAGAAAAAAATAAGAAGCCGCGTAGCCGCGTCAATTCCGAAACTTTGGTCTGACCAGAGACCGAATATTTTTTTTTTTTGGCCTAATGTAAATTTTATTTCCTGGGTTAGAAAGGATTTTTTCCTTGTGCGTACGTGTTCACGCTATTAAAAATGATTTTGTACTTAGAATTTCTGCGCATGGGCTGTCAGCATAGAATATGATTGCAGGAGTACAGAATTTCATGGTAAGCAGAGTCTGGGCTCTGGATGTTTTCTGTTTTTGAGATTACAGCACAATGAATGCCCAAGTGCATGACAGTCTTGTAAACTACAGCAGGTATATTATCAGGCTGACTATATGTCATCCGCAGTACATTTTTGGCATACCAAATCTTCAATTATGTATCCAATTATTTAATTTATATATTCATTTATTCAGATTGGTTTTATTTACATTCCTGACTCACAGCCAACAGATGAACTGCACATCATTTTACCAGCAGAAGTAATAAATATAATAATAATACTGGAGTCTTATATATAGCACACGCATCTACCAACAAATTAGGTACTCAAGGCGCTGGAAATTATGAAGTAATTATTAGAGGTAACATCAATTTTGGACTACTGCATGGAAAAATACTAAAAGTCCAAGAATTATAAAGATGAGATATTTAATCGCGGTACCTGTGTCTGTATCGGATTAAAACCGGCAAGCCAACCCTACAAGGCTTGGTGGTCGAGAGGTCAGGATGTCTGTACTAGTGAGCAGAGGTCATGGGTTCGAGTCCCACCCGAGTAAGCTTGTGAATTTGGTCTAGCAAACTCTCGGACGTTGAGTTTACAGTACTGATGAAGTCATGTCAGTAAAAAGGCAAAACCTAACACATAAAAAAAAAATGTGTTGATTTTGGGGAGTAAATATGAAACTACTCACCAAGGTCCCCCAGATGAACGAGGCAGTGCTGGCAGATGTAGAGAACGGACGCGTATGCCGGAGTGGCCACCTTGTGCTGGCCGACACTGGCAGGCAGAATCAGTTCCGAGGCCATGCCGAGGCGGGGCGCCCTCACGCAGCAGGGAATGTCCAGCTGGAAGGAACTACACAACTCATGTAGCAGCTGGGTTAGAGGAGACAATGAAAAAATCATGTTATCTTTTGACATTCAGTCAAATAGGGAAAGAGTTTCGGAAATGTATATTACAAAATAAATGGTTAAAGGAAATGCAAATGCCTCGCACTAATGGTGCTTGTGTTCTTGGGCAAGACACTTTACTACAATTGCCACTCGCCAACAGGGAGTTTAATGGGTACCTGTGAGGACAGAGACTAGATTGCCCTCATCTGGAGCTGCTGAGGGTCTCATGGCCTGATAAACAGGGGTAATAATTGTGAAGTGCTTTGTGACTTTGGAATAAAGTGCTATATAGAGTACTAAAGTGTGACGTCATTTAGAAAATGTGGTGCAAACGAATGGAGTACGCGCGCGTGTTGGTTCACAGGCTGAATGTCTTTTACACACATTTTGTGCGCGTGATGTATTCACTTTGGTACTCTGTAAGCATTGCATTATGATTGTTATTACAAAACTATCTAGAAATCTACAAACATAATTCTGCACAACTGTTCCCCCTCGGATCCTATCCTCTACAATAAAGTCTTCCCGCCTAGTTTGTAGCCATACTTGCACAATTCTGCCAACAGTACCTGTAAGTAGAAACCACTGCCACTGTCCAGGAAAAGGGTCAACATGGCTTGAACTTCACTACGTTTGGGATTCTGCAACGATGAGGAAATAACACTGGTTATTTACATTATGGGAAATGCTACCTTTGGTAGACATTCCCATTGACTTGTGCACACAAAAAAATCTGAACTTTAGTAACACTTAAAGCTATAGTCCATCATTTGCAGCCAATTGAAAAGTAACTGGCGTAATTACTGTTGAAAAACAAACTTGGTTGAAAGATAGTAAGGGAACTAAACTCCCTGTGAAATTATTCCTTCTGGGAAGCTGTCATTTTGAAGTAATCAACGAAAGAAGAAGAAAATTTAAATTAGTAGTTCGTTTTGTTATTCAGCGCAGCGCGCACAAGTATTGGAACGACGCACACGCGCGCGCGGTTGTTATAATTCGTCGGATCAGTGCGCGACGCCGCGTATAGCTGCAATTCAAAACAATTCAAAACATGATTCGGTAACTTTTGATTTGAAATTGAGATCTTAGAATGCTGCTTTTCTCGGAATGTACAGCTGAAGCTTAGCTGAAACTTCATCAGGTTAGTTGCTCAGTATCCTTCATTAGATTTTGAACACTTTTGTTGCTTCAAACGAACAAAATGCACTAATTACAAATGATGGACTATAGCTTTAACCCTAACCTAAACTTAACCAACCCTCGCCATACTTTATAAATTTGGGTTCTGCATCATGCGGAATGGATTTAAGCTATTTTGGACAGGATTTAAAACGTTAGGAAGACATTCAAATGTCTCCCTAATTTACCCTGTCTCACTAAGGTACAACATTTTTTTTGCAAATGGGCCTAATGGGCCATTTGCGAGATTTTATAGACAAAGACATCTGTTTTAATAACCAAATTGCTTAAAAATATGTTTTGCTTAAAAAAAACCAAAAACCAACCAAAATGGCATTTATGCTATAATGGGTCATTCTATAAATTTAGAATATTTCAAGCAATATTTCAAACTGTTCTAGAAAAGCAATTACAGCAATGTTACTTTAAACAGGATACATACTTCATGGTGCTGCAAAGTGCAGGAAAGATTCCCTTAGCAAAAAAAGACAAAACAGGTTACCAGCCACAATATCATACGGTTTATATTGCGGACTGACTGGTTCCCTGCTCAATTTCTGTTCAACCATCAATTGGACTGACCGTTTTGTCTTTGGCTTTGCGCTGCAGCGCCGATATCTGGTTCTTGAAGGCATGGTTCCACAGGTCCTGCTCCACCTTCTTGTCCAGGGCATACTCCAAGTCTGTCACCAAGATCTGCTGGTACAGCTCCCTTAACTGCTGCCGAGTGACCCAGGGGTCACCGCGGCCTTCTGGGATAGCCACGGACAAAACAAAGAAAAAAGCTGCTCTCTATTTCAATTTAAAAAAAAAATAATTTAATAAATGAAGCTCGCAGAACCATAGAAATGTGTAAAATAAAGCCTCTTGAATGCTTGAGAAAGTAAGTATCCCTCTCAGATCTTTCAAAATCCATGAGAAGGTTTTGAAGGACTTTGAAGGACTGTGACAGGTACATGTAGAGCCCAGTTATCTTTACTTTACATGATGGAGCTGAACCCTAACCCTCCTCATTCCTCCAAAATCCTCCGGATGGTTTTGGAGGATTTCTGGAGGATTGAGGCTGAATGGCAAAAAAGTGTTGGTTGATTTTGGAGGATGTATTGTGTCAAGATTGCAGGCTGTGCCCTGCATTGTTTATATTCAACCATGCAATATTGGGCCCTGCATTATGCTCGATTTCATCCACACTGCTTCTGGTTGCTGGAGGATTTTGAATGATTGATGCAATCGTCACCCCTCCATTGAACAAATTCAAGAAATAACAGATGATTTTGGAGGATTGAGTCTGAATCCAATTTTTACACGGTAGCAATTGGAGGATTTTGCAGGATTGAGGATGGTTCCTAGCCAAAAGGGCCTAGGGAATTAGAGTTAATGCTCCCTGAAAGTTCAGAAACAAAGACTTTACTATGGGTTCTCCTGCAGTTCGGTGGATTCTGAGGGCTCCATCTTAGTTCCCAGGAAGTAAAGGGCTATATTAGGTGCTGAAGTTGAGTCCATAACAAGTTATCACAAGCCCTCAGAAGTCAATCATAGGTCACCCAAGCCCAAGTCAAGTCACAAGCTATTCTGATGAACTCTGACGAAGGAATTCGTTGTCAGTGCTCTTCCCTTGTTACTTGTGACCAGCCGTGTGAATGGACTTGTGATTTATTTTTGACTGGACTCAACTACAGCACACTGCCCAAATGAGTACTTGTATATTTACTGCTTTCAGCCAAGAATTTCTTTCTGGTCAAGTGAGATAAAAGCTTCAGCTACGTGTAAATGTTTGTTGCTGTAATCCAGCTGCTGGCCATATGTTCAGACCGTGGACAAGCCATTTCACCCATACTTGCCACTCAACACCAACAAATATAAATGGGTGCTGGCATTTACTAAGAATAGCCTTGTGGTGGACTGATATCCCATCCAGGGGAAAAGAAAATTCTCAGTACTTTCATGACAAGGAAACTGGAGATAAATACCAGCCCGATGAACCACGCTGATTTGCATAAAAAACTTTTACCGTCTGATATTGGTTCTGCTGGAATTCTGTTGAGTTTTTATTATTGTAATGCTTGCTTACATTACATGAACAGTTACAATTTCACTGACTTTCAAGGATGTTATTCTGAAGATAAAATTTGTTTCGTCTTACCGATAATCTCAGCCTTGCGCTCATTTGCCTTCCTGTAAACAGAAATGACAAAAAAGAACATTGAAAATTAATTTTTTTAGAACTGAATGCAACTCATTTCAATACATGGTCACACAGGAAACTGTTGACATATTATGTATTTTGAGAAACACCAGTTTTTGTCTTCAGTTAGCCACTATAAAATATCTGTTCCTGTCCCCAATCCTTTTATCCTGCCAGACAGCGATTACTTTCACACCAGCCTGAAAACAGGAAGCAGGAAATTAATTAGTACGGATGAATCTTACAAACGTGAATCATAAACGCCCGTCTTTGCTCGGACGGCCCGATTAAAGGGGACTCTCATCCGGAGTTTGGGGCTCCAAAACAAGTTTCAAATGAACTGATTTACCGTTAACCCCTTCTATAACATTTAATCACTCCTCAATGAATCTATCAAACCACAGTGTAACGGGGCAGTTTTGGGCTGTATGAGGAGTAACAGGCAGGGCGGATTGGGGCGGTACAAAGGCTAGTAAAGGGTTAATTGTTACAAAAAAACAAAAACATGATATATTTTCACACAACTACACAATGAAACTTTGAGATTAACAAACGCGTGTGAGCCAGGAGCGTCAGAGACTGGTGTGGGACCTGCACCCGATTTCATCAAACTCTTCGTAACTTACGATGCATCGCAGCGCTGCGACGCGTCGTATCTCTACGATGCGTCGCAGCTGCGACGCGTCCTGCGATCCATTTCACTAAACACGTCGTAAGTGCGACGCGTCGTAGGTGTATTTATAGCACAACTCAGTGACTGTTTTATGTCTTTAGTCAGCGTACAGTAAATAGTCGTCTGATATTCAACAAAGAGTCGTCGGATCTCGGCTCGAAATTTGTTAAAACGTAAAACAAAATGGCGGCCGTGCGATGCAATTTTGAAGAAAAACAAGCTCTCATTGGACTGTATAGCTACTTTGAAATTTCAACTCTAATATTCCGGTCTAATTCATAATTATTCAATGAATTTTCTATTTACAACTTTACACACCTTGCCTCGGTATTATAATCTCGTTAATGTAATGTTTGTGGCATAAAACTGGCTTAGAAATGACTTCTTATTTTGCGATGACCACTAGACACATCGTAACTTGCGACGTGTTTTAAGCCGTTGTCAAGGAACTTACGACGCGTTCAACACATCGCAACTTTCGTGTTACACGTCGTAACTCGAGTTGCGACGCGTCGCAGCGCTTCGTGAAATCGGGTGCTGATATGCCATAGTGAAATGTCACTTGTCCACAAGCAATCTTTGCTTGACAGTTTGATGGCTTCATTCACTACTATGTATCTATAGAGAAGGTAACAAACAGGGGTTTTCAAACATTTCCTCTATAACTGTAAGACATTATTTGGATTTTCTGTTACTTGGACCTTTCAAATTGAAAAAAAAAAAAAAAATTGGTGAACTTCAGACAAAAGATAAAGTTTAAAATCCGACATCTTAAAAACTTTCTCTGTTGATTGTAAAAACTGTCTCTGTTGATTAGGATGATCACAATAACAGTATCATTGGGATCTACATTTAATAGTATACAAATATTGAATGCTTCGAGTGGTGTAGTAAAACTAGCCTCCCGAGGTGATCCATGGACATTCTATTTTCCCGAAAAAATTAAATGCTCCATGGATCACTGAGGGAGGCTAGTTTTACTTCACCACGAGATAAAGCATTCAATATTTGTTTTATAACACTTCACCCACATATTCTGTGTGGTTTTAATATTTTAAATTATTTAAATCTGAACACAGTTGAAGTAAACTTCAATTTCAATACAAAACAAACTACCCCTTCACGAAATGCTTGAACCCAACTCTGCTGCGCGCTCTCTTTAGAACAAAACGCGCTACGCGCAACGCGCTCATCCGCATGCATTTGCACAATACTTTGGTTGCTAATGGTATAGTACTTTGGGTGCTACGGGTATAGTACTTTTGGCTGTGCACAGAAAGATAGCAAAAATAGAAAGTATCATGTGACTCGCTCTTGGCCAATCAAGACACAGAATCTGTGGGTGAGGTGTTATAAATAAATATGTATCGAATCTATTTATGTAAATATGTAAATATAGGCCTTTGTATAAATCTCCAAATCTCTTGAAATTACGAAAAGTGTATTGGCATTGGAAAAAAAAAAAAAAAAAAATATGTTTGAAAAGCTCAGGAGATAGATTTTTCCAAAACCAACAAGTCTAAGTTATTAAAAAAAAAGTTTATATTGAGTTACATGACCCGAACAGCACTTTTTATCATTTTTCATGAAGCATCCCCTGCGCAGAATTAGGCAGGATTCTTTTCTACACCACCAAAACTGTACGCTTTGGAATTCCCTGCTTGCTGCCACAAATGAAGAGATTTCGCTTTCTTAATCGGTACGGTTGATGATCGTAAGCCAACAATATAAGTTTTGCTTTTTATGATGATGAATTATGATGTCATTATACATGTTATATAATATAGGCCCTTATAATAGGCCTATCAGCCATTAAACTAAAAAAAAAAAAAACGGTGCCGACAAAATTTCTCCTGCCTTTTTTACATTAAATTTTAACGTGTTTAATGTAAAATGAAGTCTACAAAAACTGTCTTTTTGATTAATTCGCAACTGTATGTTGTACCAAGTCATCGACTGATACAAACACTAACAGAATATACACCAACCTACCCTCACCCACCCTACCAATCTGCATCGCCCCGCCCATTCTTAAGTAAAAAAAGTTCAGGACGAATTTTGTTGCGAGTTTCTGCAACCAATGCAAAAATAACCCAACATTCTTTTCCAATTTTCTCCATTACCTCACCGTAACCTCATTCATCGAAAAGAAATTCTGAAACAATGACATTATAAACAACAAACTGAACAACAATTACCGTAGTAGCTGCTCACAAAACATCACATTTCAGGTCTTAATTTCTGTAGTTTTTCGCCGCTACATCGACGTCTCATCGTCCGCCATGTTTCTCTGAACTCAGGATCACCCGGCTCCCGGAAGTTCACAATTTATGCAAATTTTCTACTTTTTGTCTTCAGGCCAAACAAAATCGAATAACCAGAAACACTCAATGTCAGTACTTTGTATGTCAATATGAATCACTCTTCTCACAATCTTTATCAATAAAACGATTCAAAATGTTTCTTTTATCAAGTTTGGGGTCATTTTTTCCCCCACAGAGCTGCCGGGTAGAAAAGGTCAAAGGTTATGTAGGGTAAATATAGATTGCAAACATAATCGGACGACGACGAAAAAAAGCGGAGCTGAACTAACTGAAAATTTGTGAATGTGAGGAACCGGTGCTGATGTTCCACAAAACAGACTGAAAAATGTCCTTCGTTCGTCGTCTTAATGCCCAGATTTTCTGTGTTATTTTTGGTTGGGTACGTGAAACGTTGGATGGATGAGAACCCACAGTGTTGGTCTTGACTTGGAGATCGTTTCGTTTGTATGCAAATAATGCATTGTATTCGTATACGTCGCGATTACAGCTGATCAGCGTGCGTGTTGTGACTGTTTACCCCGGCCTGGCACGGGGCTGGCCCTGGGCTTGATTCGGACAATTCGCGGACACGATCGTATGAACATTTCACCGCTGCACCACAACACCGATAATGAGGTTCACTGAGCACTTAGGTGCCCACCTCACACCAGAATGGCGTAAACAATATATCAAATATGAGGTGAGTGTACGAAATTTGTAATTTAAGCACAATTCAGATTTTTGAAAAAATACTTGGCAAAACCGGTATATTTTTTTCCCACTAAATTTTAACATAAAAAACTTTCATTCTTATTTTGTCCTTCATTTAAAGGTCTTTTGATCCTGCAGATTTAGGGTAAAAAGTATAGGTATTTTGGAAACAGTAATACCGATAATGTAAATATTTTAATGCTTACGATTGATTGTTGAGGATGTTTCGTTTGATGATGATTTGAACAGTGATAGTGGTGGTGTACGTCCGAGTAACTTGGACCCAACTTATCACCTTTTTTTTAACATGTGGACATGGACTGGTGATGTCCGAATGTTAAAAAGGCGATAAGTTGGGTCCAAGTTACTCGGACTAATGGTGTGATGGCGATGATGATGATGATCCATAGTATGATGGTCCTGCTGTCTTCTGATGATATTTCACAGAATTCAAATAAATGAACAAATATTTAGTTTTGATGAAAATCTTCTATTACCAATTAGGCGTCAGGATACTCATTTTAAGAGCATGAAAAACCTTCATTGATTATGAAATTGTATTCACTCGTTTATAAATGTAAAATATTTTATTTGTAACAGTGCAACAGTTGAATTCGAATTCAAAATAAAATGTGATTACGCTTTCTTGCAGCTCTTGTTTTTTCAGATCTGTCTGGATTTCAGAAGTTGAATTACCTGGGCCCAATTTCTTGGCTCTGCTTACAAGTTACACTTTGAAAAATCTCTGCTTATTATATAGCAGAAAATTCCGTGCTTATGGTAAGCATATTTCACGTGTTAGCAAGGAATTTTGGCTTCTGCGCATGCATACATCCCGTAAACTAAGGATTCTGTGCTTACATGGTTAGCACAAAAAATTTTGATTGTAAGCGCAGAATTTTGTGGTCAGCAGAGCCATGAAATTGGGCCTAGATCTCATTCTTAACATTTTTGAGGAAATGGTGATTATGTCGTGTAGACCCCTCTTTAGTTTTGATCAAATAAGAGTCAAGAGTTTTCTTTATCATTCCAAAATGACTTTTTCAATCTAAAGCAGACTTCTCTTAATTGTAATGACATCTCATTTTGTAATTTTGAAAAGTTTCTTAAGGTGGAAAATGCCATTTTCTTTTGTGTTTTACGGTCGGTACCATGCGAATCGACGCGGATTTGTGTGTTTACTGTGCGTCACGGTGATCGCTTTCTATATTTTCGTGTTGAGTTTTGTCGTCTTCACCTCAAAATTTCCATCACAAAATAACTAGTTTGGTAAGTCCAATGATCTAAAAGTGGAGTTTTATTTCCTTATACCAGAAACAGAGCACTACACTATCGCCAAAACAAATCATTGATTAAGGACATTGCCCCCAACATAAACTGGAAAGACAACAGATAAAACCACAAGTAAGCAAATATCATCCCCAGAGACTATTTTGGTGATAGGCGATTAGGCGGGGTTACATTGAAGATTGCCTTGATAAATATGATTCTTTGCACATTATTTATGGCGTGACAAATATTGCTAGAAACTTGGGTTGAAAAGGTTTGAAAATATCAAGCTACAGGAATGTACATGTTACCAGGCTGTGGGAAAAAAATAGGCTTGCTGATTACAGAAAATGCAGCATAATAGTGTAAAAATGTGAAATTAAGCAGTCGTTTCCTTCAGATAATGAAATTATTTGCGAATTTAATCTCACAAGGTATTTTGGCATGTTATTCTATTGTATGAATTGCAGTTGAATTCTATGCTTTTCCCTGCACATAATGAAAAAAGACAACATAAATGAATAGAAAGGACTGCACTCTCCTCAGCAAAAAAAAATCCACTTAAGTGTAAGATAATGCCAAGTGAAAAAATAAAACCAGTTTCTCATCCCCACCTACTTCCATTTTTCTTGGCCGTCTTATTAAAAAATAAAATATCATATGTTTGGAATATATTTTGTCTTACATGTGTTTCTAGCAAAATTGTAGAGCTCTATTTATGCAAATTTAAAATCTGGTAACAAGAGTATCAGCAAAAGAGTAAAAAAAAATGGAAATTCCATCTTGGAAAATCTGCTATCTTGGGAACAAAATAGAGGCCGCCTCTTCCCTTTCATAAAAAATGCCAGACGAGTAACTGTATTTTTTTTTACTCGGCCTTACATGTTTATTGAATTGAATCTGTGAATGTGGGTTTTTTTGGAAGTAGGAGGGGTGAGTTTGAATCCAGAAAATAGCATTGGCCCCAGACGAAAAGAGAACTTTTTAACATCTGTTTCATACAGTCCATACTCTTTAGATCTAATATGCATGTAGTTAGTGAAAGCTGTGTGACCAAGTGGTGTGAATGTTTCAAGATTGTTTCTAATTTGTTGGTGCTTTTATAGCCATTTTTTTCTCATGATTTTGTTATGAAAGAGATACATTGTGCTGGTAGTAAGCTGAAGGTCAACAATGCACTTTAAAAAAAAATATTATTGATAGTCAAAGTGTTGGGGCAATGACCGTGTGTATCTTTGCCCGACAGATTTGGGCAAGATCCAAAAGTCAATTCTTCAACAACTCATTCAGCAATCATTCTTTAATTGTGTTAGTTCAATAAACTAAAAAAAAAAAGTGACACATTATGTCACTAGTGTAAAAGACACTATTTTTTGGTACATCGACCGCAACCGACATTTGTAAACAAATTGAGATAAAAGCTTGTCAAAATGTTTTAAATGTTATGGAGCTATAGATGTAGGCTATACGAATCAAACATGTAGAGTGTACATAATAGATTCCTCTTAAACACAAACTGACTTTTATCGTTATAAATGTTTAATTATAAAGTTCATTTTTGATATAAAGGAAGTTAAGTTTCCAAATTTAAATTTTTTTTTCTCATGGAGCTACAGCCACAGATAATGTCTTATAGAATAAATTCCAGTCCTGTTCGGGCTGAACCTCAGCAGTTGCACTGTGTGAAAAGAATGTTTTGACCACCATGCTGTGTGTACTATCCTCTCCTGAACTCTTGACTTGTCATGCGTGTGCTTTGGTGCATTCTTCTCTAATCCCCCTGTTGAGAATTCACCTTTCAACATCGCATTCACAGGCTCAGAGTCTTTGTCATTTCTTGAATAATCACATGCTGTAATAATGTCCAACTCCATTCTGATGTACATGTATGAGACCATGGAGGAATAAGAACACATGAGACCATGTAATATTTGTTTACAGAAGTGGACGTTGTGGTCACATGATGCAAACTTTCAGCAAACTCTTGAAATATGAGTGGCTTAAAAGTGTTGACATTCAGGCGGGCAAAATTAAAGGGAATATACATCATTTGCTTTTGCTGTAATTTTAAGAAATGGATGGAATTGGGGGTTGGAAATATATAGCAAATATAGTTACACTGACTTTTTTGAGGTTTTGGGTTTGAAAATGCTATAAAATTAAAAACCAAGAAAAACGATCGTTTTCCTGTAGTCTGGTTCCCCGACTCCATATAAGAAGAAACAGAGCAGTTTACATACATTGGGGAATTGTAAGGTCAGGGAACCAGTCTAGCTGCCTTGTACCCGTTCATGGGTGTGTAATCGATTGCAAACAAGTGCGATGGTCAATTGGGGCCAGTATTTGAAAAAAAGCCTGTTTTTTCCAACGCTGGTCGGCCGACCAGCGTTGGAAATTGATACAAAAATACAACTTTTCTTGAAAATGACCAGGTGCCATGATTTTACAGGATGCTTTACACTGTCATTCACTAACAGTCCAGCAAGGTATTTCAAAATGATTTGGTAGTTTTATTTTTTGATGTTTGCAAATGTTGTATTTTCCCTTTAACATGCAAATGATTTTGGTTGCCTGTCCGTTGCGACATCACAGATGACATGGTCTACATGTATAGCGTGATAAGTTACTTATATCAGCTATGAGTGCGTCAAAAGTACAAATGTACATTGTACAAAACAACAACAAACTCTATCTGATCTGCGCTCATGAAAGCTACATGTACATGTAACACATGTGAAAATTCTGTACACGTACACTACGCCAAATAGTGCATTTACCCTTGCAGTGTTTCATACAGGATATGCTGGATTATGTTTCACATAAGCATCATCCAACATGTCTGAGAGAATTTATCTTCTGTTATATCTTGCACCACTCTGCATTAAATTTGTTCTTGATCGTTAAAAATGAAAGGGTGTTGAAAACTGCCCACCAGCTGAAAAGACGTGAAAGTATATATCACACTGGAGAGTCTTGAGTTGAATCTTTAGAGAATTAAAGGGAAAATACAACATTTGCAAACATTAAAAAATGAAACTACCAAATCATTTTGAAATACCTTGCTGGACTGTTAGTGAATGACAGTGTAAAGCATCCTGTAAAATCATGGCACCTGGTAAACTGTCATTTTCAAGAAAAGTGGAATTTTTGTATCAATTTCCAACGCTGGTCTGCCGACCAGCGTTGGAAAAAACTGGCTTTTTTTTCAAATACTGGCCCCAATTGACCGTCGCACTTGTTTGCAATCGATTACACTCCTATGAACGGGTACAAACCAGCTAGACTGGTTCCCTGACCTTACAATTCCCCAATGTATGTAAACTGCTCTGTTTCTTCTTATATGGAGTCAGGGAACCAGACTACAGGAAAATGATTGTTTTTCTTGGTTTTTATAGCATTTTCGAACCCAAAACCTCAAAAAAGTCAGTGTAACTATATTTGCTATATATTTCCAACCCCCCAATTCCATCCATTTCTGAAAATTACAGCAAAAGCAAATGATGTATATTCCCTTTAAAGCAAAGTCTGCAACTTCTATAACTCATCAATTGTGTACTCTACCTTGAATTCAGTGTTTTTTGTATTTGATGGAAAATGGAATTTGCATCAAGGAGATGTTAATTTAATATTTGTTTTCCTCCCTTCACAAACCTGATTTTTCTTTGGATACACTGTATGTACTCAGTTTTGTCTTAGGGCTTGCAAGAAGACAATTCACAAGCTTACGCAGACAGGGCTCAAGTAAGCAGGATGTCGTGGGTTCGAATCCAACCTGAGTAAGTTAGTGAATTTTTTTTCTCACAAGCCCTCAGACAACAGTGAGTATGTATCATATAAAAGTATGTTGGAGAAGGGGGAAAAATAGAAAAAAAATAATATATTGTCATAAGGGCAATTCCCTGCAAAAGTGGTAATTGCTGAACAGTGGACAAATTTATGAAATTTCAGAAATATAAGCATCACAACCTCAAATGTGGTATCAAATTAAAGGGTACAACAATGCTTTTTATTTGAGTCTGTGCCAGTGACATAGAATGTAGTTAAATGTATTTTATTTTGGTAAAACAACTTGGTTTGGGGGCTAAAATCATAGATTTAGAATAACACACAGAACTTTGAATGCCATGATTCAGTATGTTTTTTTTATCGCGTGTGTGAAGTTGATGTTATGTCTGTAACAACAAAAACATGCTATATCCATAACATCAAAGCAGCATTTTGTAAAGTGTCATTGGTGTTTTTATAGAGTGAAGCTATATCCACCACAACATAGTTATTTCATTAAATTCTTGCAAGAAACAGAGTTTTATAAATGCATACTGAAAATCAAATTCTATATGTCTTAAAGCATAACGTCCGTAATGGTCGTTTGCAGTGCTTATATCTCATGAACTAATTACTTAATTCAGCTAACATAACATTGACAATGTCACGTTGTACATTAGAGTTGTACCAAATATATAAAAATTTGCTTTCACTGCAAGCATTTTATTTTAGGCTTTAAATGTTATGTCCATAATGATGGAATTGCCCATATATCTTTTTGACCGCAGACATTCCCTACACAGACTAGACCGCAGAGGTACTGCAATCACCAATCAGAGATCCTAACTCATAACACAATCATGACATTTGATCTTTCTTTTTCTCTTTTTTTCGCAGGAACTGAAAATTTTGCTGTATGATGCCCAGGAGGAGTCTCCAGACCCTGAGGGTAAGTGGCAAGCAATTTCTTGGCTTTCGACCGTCACAATTGATAAATTTTAGTTATCTGATTATTTATGTATTTTTTTTGGGGGGGGGGGGTGGCAGCAGAGTTGGTTGATACTTGATGCCAAAATAAAGCACATTCTGTAGCATCAACAATAATAGTTTTATTATGACTTTCGCTGTAAACCATACAAATATATTTTACTTTAAAATTTCTGTAACATTTTAAACGAACGCATTTTACCAAAAGGTTTTGGTTTAACTTTTTTTTTTCAAGTAGCAAAATCAACAGAGTCTTGGGTATGTTAGAATTAAATGATGTACCTAGGGTGAACAAGATAAAACCTTTGTTTATCATAAGATGAAACGAATGCACATTTTTATTAAAGGCACTTGGTAGGAGCAGAGGTGAAGACAATCATTTAAAGGGAATGTACATCATTGGCTTTTGCTGTAATTTTCAGAAATGAACTATTTGAGGGGTTAGTATAATAGATCAAATATTGTTACACTGACATTTTTGAAGTTTTGTGTTCGAAAAGGTTGGAAAAACCAAGAAAACAAAAATGTTCAAGTAGTCTGGTTCCCTGACTCCACAAAAGATAAAAATGGATCAATTTATAGATGATGAAAATTGTAAGGCAAGGGAACCAGTCTAGCTGGCCTGCACCCGTTCATGAACATGTAACCAATAGCAAACAAAATTTGGACTGAAAAAATGGTAAATTTGGAGCAGTAGTTGAAAAATAGTTAGATTTTTCCAACGCTGGTCGGCCGACCACCGTTGGAAATGTTTACAAAAATACCATTTTCTTGAAAATGACTTCACACCAGGTGCCATAATTTTACAAGGTGCTTGAGACTGTCATTTACCAACATCCTAGTTAGGTATTTTGTAAAAACTTGGTAGTTTTATTTTTCGATGTTTGCAAATGTTGTATATTCCCTTTAATGTGGTTTGAAAAAGTAGTCTTCCCAATTTTTTGTAATGAACCCATGAATCATTGCATTTGACAGTGGCTGGGGAGGCGATGGTGGAGCGACATTTTGCCCGATTCGAGGAGAAGTTTCTGAAACTCTGCGAGAAGGAATTGACCAAAATCAACACTTTCTTCAGTGGTAGGTTTACGATAGTGCAGCCCGTTCAACATCAGATCTGGAGTATTTTTTTTTAATTAAAAATAAAAGTAATTCAGAGTATAGAAAGATAAAAACCAAATACACAGTTGCAGAATGAATTAGCAACTATTGTTTACAAATAAAAGGCTGAAATACGTTTTTTTGGCTTTTGACAGTTTTGTCCAAAAATAATTCATTTATAAATAATTTCACCCCAAGGGGAAGGGAACAGCCATTTACGCTAATGTGATTTTTCCCTCTGCCGTTATCACTAGGAAATGATCAACTTCCATTTCATGTGTCAGTTCTGAGCTCAAGTAGTGCCCTACATGTAATAGGGTATGGAAGGTCACAGCGTAAAAAAAAAATGTAATTTCCGTAAAACCTAAAGAGGGCTGGGGATTCGAACCCCAGGTCACAGGGGTAAGGCAAGGAAAGAACCATTGTGCCAAGTCTATATTCCATTCAACTGGCATTCCAGAGTCGCACTGCTCAAACCGAAAGTTGACCCAAATAGATTTTGGTTTTACGTAATAATTTTTCATCGATTCTACTCTTGAGTCAGTCCAAATGACTGCAATAGTGGATCTTTCGACAAGTCACGTGTCGTCTCATCCAATTGTTTTAAACATGAAATTAATGTAAATGTTATAAAATAATTTGGTTCAAGGCCATTTCATACTCGACGCAAAGGCGAATGTAACCTCGATTTTGTGACGACACTTCATTTTTTTCTCGCTGCGAATTAACGAAAGTTGAACACATTTCAACTCCAGCATTTTTCGCAGTGAAAATTTCCTGACCTCAAATTCTTTAGGCGTTTGCATTCCTGTAAGTATGAACCAGTCTCGGTTCAGAATTGCAATCTGAAACGGTTGCTAATGCTAAATCACTTCTACTAAAAGTTTGCTGTGTCGTACTGTTTTTATATAATCACATTTTTTGTTGTTCCCACAGAGAAGGAGGCTGAAGCCATGCGCCGCTTCGCACAGCTCACAGACGAGCTGCGACAGGTGGACTCGCAGACGGTGGCCAACAGCGCCGCGCTGCGCCGTCGTCGTAGCTCCATGTTCATCCTGGACAACAGCGAGGTCAAGGTCGCCAAGTCGGACCGACGGAAGGTCAGCGACCTCAAACTGGCCTTCAGCGAGTTTTACCTCAGCCTGATCCTGCTACAAAACTATCAGGTTGGTTGGGGGAAGAGGGTAGGGGATTGAAATGGTTTTTGCCAGCAGGACAACAGGGGGCGCCCTTTTTGCGCGCATGATTATTCATAGATGTCCAGGGTAATTAAGGAGTAGTAAGGAATATGGGGGAAGGCCTCTTAGAATTTGGTATATAATAAGGAATAAAGGTATCGAAATCACCAACGCAAAGCAGCTGATTCGTAGACTGGTTGGAAGTAAAAGTTACTTCAAATCATGATCCCAGTTCGAACCTGAAGTAGGACTTCTTGTTTTTTTTTTTCATTTTATCTTTTAACTAACATAGTGAGGAAGATTGCATTTCTTGCAACGCGTGAAGGTAATGATTGTTTGGTGGTATCAATCAAATGACATTAGATATATGCATGTAATGGACTAATCAGAAGCTGGGAAACTCAATCGTGCCAGAACCACATTGGAAAAAATTTGCAGTAGGGGATAGGGAGTTTAAATCATCGGGGGTTGATGAAATGCTTACTTAGCTGAGGTGGAAACTTTTTCAGCACTCCAAATTTAGGAGACTTATGTACTTCTATAAAGTCCTTGGCTTAGTTTTGGCTAGGAGTCTTCTCAATCCTGAAAATTCATACACTTTTCAAGAAAATAAAGACACTTTTTGTACTTGAACATTCAAGGGGCACGTATTTGAGAGGGATATAGTTGATGTTGAGAAGGAAAAAAATGCCTTTCAAAAAATTTGCTTTTTTTCCCCCAATGCTCAAAGTATTATCTTAATTTTGAGTATAGTTTTTATAAGTGCTTTACTTAATTGTGTTTTGGGGTTTTTTTTTTGCTTATCTAAAGAATGTTTGTGATTTTCAGAACAATTTCTGCGCAAACACAATATAATGTCTGCAAGGGGAAACCCAAAATCATTCATTTTTTTATTTGCGTATAACTGGATTTGAATGTAATCTGTAACTCAATGATCCCTTGGTGGAAGGGAAAACCAAACAAACCAGAGACTGGATTTCAGTCTGGTGCAGATCGTGCTCTTTGCATTCAATTGTAGACAAAGGGAACTGAAAGGCCAGTAATTTAAACCTGCAGCTACTTTCTGCATTGGACCTTGTGCATTATCCCAAGATAGCAGGGAAAGTGTACAATTTCCTGTGTAGTACTACAATTGGGGAGTGCAGTTTTGAATCATTCTTGTTCCTGATAATTTGCAAGTTTGCTAGCTAGATGATTTTTGGCAATTCTCTCAGTGGAAATATCTCTTGTTCCAAACAATTCACTTATGCCAAATTCTGGTGAAACGAGTCTGAACATGATACTCCAGTAGTTTGAGGTTTGCATTTCTTCACTTTCTTGCCACCTCAGAAACTGAACTTCACGGGGTTCCGTAAGATCCTGAAGAAATACGACAAGATGATGAAGAGCACGCGAGGGGCGGAGTTTCGGGTAGCCAAGGTGGAGCCGGCGCCGTTCTACACCAACAAACACGTCGACAACCTCATCTTGGAAACAGAGGTTAGGATTTAAACGAGCAATTTAACAGTCTTTATGCTGTGCTATAAAGTATTCTTGTTTTAATACCCGAGACTGAGAATTCATAGACTTGTGCAAAAAGTGTTGAACTTACAGCCTTGCGCTTAGAAGTGCAGACATCTTCACCATTCAGCCCGACTGGCTGGTCTATAAATGTGTAAACTACCTTGCCCATGGACACAAGCTTTGTCATCCCTGCCCACCATCGTCTCTAAATTCTTTCCTGTATCGCCCCATCCTTTCCCAATCTTAATCCCACTCCAATCCGTGCGTTCCGAGCCACCTGTTATAGGCCCTCTAAAATTTCAAGCAATACCCTCCTCGGTGAACGTATCTTCCTTTCAAAATTCCGCATTCCAAGATGATTTAGGGAGTTTAACAGATTGGTATTATAAAAATCAATCAATCTCTATTAATAGCAGCCAGGAATTTTTAAGTTTCAAAATGTATCGTTCCAGACGTCTTACATCAATGACTTGGAGGAGGGGAACAGACAGAAAGCTATGAACAAATTACGGGTACCGCCCCTAGGGGCAAAGGTAGGTCGCTGCATCTTTCCCTGTCCTTGCTGTATAATTGTCAAACAGATTTGTATAAAACATTTTTACAATCAAAAATTTGACTTTGTTCTACAAAAGATGCAAGACCCTTAAATGCCTTTTCAAACTTCTTCTGTGTGAGATTGCTGTGTAGATCAAGTTGCTTTGCCGACCCAATGTCTAAGGCCAAAAAAAAAAATAAGTCGGTCTCTGGTCAGCGCGCGCGTCGATTTTAATCATGCGCGTCAATCTTTTTTTTTTTCCAAAATGTTCTGCGGTAGCTCCAACAATTTTTTTTACCAAAGAGCACCAAGGAATGGGGAATTGCACCAAGGCAAATGATCGAGAGCACCAAGGCAAATTATGGAGGACACCAATGTACATGAGGACACCAAGTAGCAAAATAGTACCCCACCTTGTCTGTACAATCCAAGCTTGAAGACAAAAAACAACAACAACAACAACAACAAAAAGCCGCGTCCCCGCGTCAATTCCGGAACTTTGGTCTGACCAGAGACCGAATATTTTTTTTTTTTGGCCTAACAGTCATATTCATTTCTGAGCACACAAATTTGTTTAAACATTTTGCCTGGCAACCACCTGGGCACCAGCCAGAACTGCATCAATACACACTGGTTGTGACCGGTTCTCCGTCTATTTAGCAGGAAATTTTGCTAGTAAATATTTTCTTTCTGACTAACTGAAATTGGCCCTGTTATGAGACTTAACACCATTAAAGGGATCCGGCATGTGATATTAGCATTTTAGAGTTTCTCCTCAAATATTATTTTCTAATTTTATCCCCTTCGTCTTTTTTGTGATCAGGGCACAAACTGGACCACGTTCCGCATGGGTTTATTTTCAGGCATCTTCCTGGTTCTTCTGATGCTTATCGTTTTAGCAGGTAAAACATTAAATCAAATTATGTAAAAAACAAAAGGGAAGACCAATAAAAAACAGTTCTGCTTCCGATTACGTGGCGTTTGAAAATAGGGTAGGTAGGTAGGGAATTTTTTTTTCTTTGGGCAATTTTTTTGTGTATGATCATATGGCGGTGTCTGCGTGTAGTAAAGGGTAAAAGGTAGTATTTGATGCTTTTTGGGGGTTTTCCTAATTTTTCCTCCCAAAAATTAGGGTTTGGGCTGTCAAAATAGGGTAGGTAGGGTAACTGGAAGCAGAACCAAATTTTCTTTTGGCCTTGAACCATTTAAGTGACAGCGTTTTGATGAAATCAGTATTTTTTTAGCCGAGGCACTTGTACCTTTTGCTTGATGTCCCAATTTCAGTTGTCAAGCGTCTTACTAGTGCTTCAAACACAAAGACATTGAGGAAATTGGGAGGCAGCCAGCTTAGTGCTGGGTAACTCAGTTGATAACCTAGTCTCATTGTTTTTAACGATACTTTTTCAGGATTTTTATTTTTTTGGTTCTTGGTAGGTATATTTATCCCGATCCACGAGGACTGTTGGCCGGCAGTGCGCATGTACCGCGGAATGTTCCTCATAATCCTTCACATCTTCCTGCTGGGGCTGAACACGTACGGCTGGCGCAAATGCGGCGTCAACCACGTGCTTATATTTGAGCTGGACCCTCGGAATAATTTATCACACGAGGATTTTATAGAGGTAAGAGTATAAGGTCATCCCCCTCCCCAATTTGGAAAAGACAAAGTCACAGTTACAAGAACCAAAGGACAGTTGATCTTCGGCCTATCCTAGTGAGTATAATAGCACTGCCATGGCTTCTATTAATTTCTACTAAGGTTCAAATTTGTTGGTGCTCATTTTGGTCGATACAAAAGCTAGGGCCAGCCTAACATCCTCATTGTACCAATGTCACTGACTACCACTTATGAGATGGGCAGTGCTTTCATATAGGAGAGCCTTGAATGAACTCCATTTTTGTATAGGTCAGATGCATGAAAAGACTTCCAGTGAGTAGTCATTCTGAATGAATTGGATAGAATTTCATTTCTGGAGGCAGCTTTACTATGTTTGCTTAGTCTTTTTATTGTTTTGCTTTTTTTTTGTTCCAAGATGTCAATGTTTTTCGCTGACCTGTGGGGCATCAGCATTCTAGGCTTCATCTATCTGAGTTTATGGCCCAGCGTGCCCAGTTACATCAGCCCTCTCATCCTAGCAGGGTTTATGCTGGCGTTTCTGCTCAACCCAACCAAGACGATGAATCACAGAGCCCGGTTCTGGCTTCTTAGAATACTGGTCAGTCAGTTTTACTAAAGCTTCAATCACTTGCGGAAGTCTCTGTATGTTCAGATTATTTATAAAGGTGCTTATGATAACAAGACTACATTGGTGCGTCAATGCAACAAATACAAGTGTGTACAGTGTGGGCTAATCCTTCCCACAGTTGCAGGATGTCACTGGCTCTGCCTCAACATACTGACAGTGATTGCTGGAGGATTTTGCAGGATTGAGGCAGTGGTCACCCCTCCGAGGACCACTTTCAAAAAATAAAGGAGGATTTTGCAGGATTGAGGCTGTTTGCAATTTGTACATAGAGGCAGTTGGAGGATTTTGCAGAATTGAGGTTGCATCCTAGAAAAAAATGCCTAGGGAGTTGGGGTTAATCAGTACATAATTTTGTTTTCATTTCTTACAGGCTCACATATTAGTGGCGCCGTTTCACGCCGTCGGCTTTGCAGATTTCTGGCTGGCCGATCAACTCAACAGTTTAACGACGGTCTTACTAGACATGGAGTTCCTTATATGCTATTACATCTGTGAAGTCGGCTGGGTACAAAATCAATGTAAGCATTTCATCAAATTTTTGATAACCAATTTCAATCCAAACTCGCAAGCAGTAATTTAGTTGAGTTGTTATCCGAGACCAGACAATAGACAGAGAAAACGTAGTCGATGTGACTCCGAATCTAGGAAAAAGGGCTGAAGTACTTAACTCATTTGACAATTTTAAAATATGGTCTTGTACCCTGTCTCCTCTCACAGGTTACTATAGGTGCAACACCTATTCATATTTTGCAAGGGCCATAGTCGCCTGTCTTCCAGCCTGGTTCCGGTTCGCCCAATGTCTTAGAAGATACCGGGACACCAGACAGGCCTTTCCTCATCTGGTCAACGCGGGGAAGTACTCCACGACCTTCTTCGTGGTAATATTCGCTTCGCTGGTGTCCACTACGATAGGTAAGGTTGAAGACGAATTGTCTCTGTATCTGAACATTTGTCGGTAGTTGGTAGACATTTTTAAAAAATGATAATTTACTTTCAACAGTGTAAGCATTTTGAGCAAAAATTTATTAATGTCTTTGGTGTTTTGATGTTGTTGTTTTCCCCTCCAGACGATTATGCTCATTTTTACCAGAACCCGTTGTTCTACATATGGATGCTGAGCGCGTTCATCAGTTCCTGTTACACGTTGACGTGGGATCTTAAGATGGATTGGGGTCTGCTGGAAATATCCGCAGAGAGCAAGCTACTACGCAAAGAGATCGTCTACTGGGATAAGGTATGCAACTTATGCCTGTGTACGAATAGCATAGTGCGAATATCTTTAGTTAAATGACAGGCACAGTGTCATCAAAGTTTATAGTCCTGGCTCCCTGCCATGTGTTGTGTTGTGCGCAGGTAATGCGCACCAGTCAAGCAACCGATTGGCGTGCGTCATGGCATTTTCAACTCCAGCGAATTTCACACCGAATATTTTGTGACACGTATCAAATTCACTTCGCATTCGTGTGAAGTTTCACTTTTCAGCAAATTTTGCGTCTGGCTGCTTTGGAAATCTTTTAAGACTCATTTTGATGAAGCGTATCACCGATGTAATCCATGATTTACTCATTTGTTTTCTACACCTGTGTAGTATTATTACTTTGCCATGGTGGAGGACTTTCTGCTACGGTTTATTTGGACGGTCAGCGTCTCTTTAGAGCTACTAGGAGCGGTACATGGGGACATACTACGGAGTATCTTGGCACCCTTGGAAGTATTCAGGTCAGTAAAAAAGACCAACATCAACATTAGGGGCATTCCCTGCTAGTCATTATCTGTCCCATTTTCTTTCCAAAATTTTGGAAGTGGGCTTTTTATGGAGCTTGTGATAGGCAACAGTAAACTTTAAAAAGCCTAAAATGAGCTCGCAAGCAGATGAATTTACAAAGCACTGACATTTTTAGTTATGATATTGCACTCTTCTCTTGATATCTCAGAAACTGCAAAACCTGCCCTCATTGTATTGAATTTTTGGAGACTATGGCTCTATCTTAAACTTTGGCTGTAGAAGACTGAAAGCTCCTTACATGGGGATGCCGACTCAGTTTGGGTCCATGGTCGGGTTGAATAACATTGAATCCTATACTGTGATGCCAACATGTAGAGAATTTTCAGTTAGTTTAGACATTCAAAGCTTCTCAATAATTCTGAAGCCACAACTGCAGACAAAGCCCGAGTTTCAAAAACACCTTCGATGTCAAGTCTCCTTTCTCAAAAATATTTTGCTAAATGAAAATGTTTACCAGCAAAAAAAATTAAGTGCATGTAACTTTAATTTTATAGCATGAATACAGCGTGCATGTAGTATGCTCAGAATAACCTGGGTAGCACTGCCAAAATTTCAACGGCTTGATGTTATTCATGCTTTTAATAGAGACATCTACCACAGCGGCAGCTTTTCTATGTTTGGTAGGGACCTAGCTGCATTAGGAGAATATAATCCAAAGCTGGTCTAGGACCAAGTCTTAGCTACTCTTTAACATTGGGCCTCGATTTGTCTTTCGCAGAAGATTCGTTTGGAACTTTTTCCGTTTGGAGAACGAGCACCTGAACAACTGCGGTCAGTTCCGTGCCGTGAGAGACATCTCCATCAAACCGGACAAGGAGAAAGAGGAGGAGAACCCCAAGAGGGTGGAGGACATGATGGATGACGAGGGCCAGGTACCGCTCCGCAAACACAAGGAGAGCAGAGGGGAAGTCAGGTGGGTACTAGACCAGTGTAGAGGATGTGGGTGTCAGATGTGAGTCTGGTGCCTTTCTGCAAAGGAAACAGAGAGCAAAGGGAAGTCAGTTGGGGACAAGAAGTGAGTGGGAGTCTGGTGCCATTCTGTTGACACAGAGTGAGTAAAGGGGAATCAGAGAGAAACCAGACAGTGTAAGGATACTGATGTCAAATATCGTAGTCTGGTGCCTTGGTGAGAAACAAAAAGAGCAGATGGGAATTCAGATGGGTACCTAATATGTCAAAAGCATAGGTACTAAATATGATAGTCGGGTGCAACTCTGCAAATGCAATTTGAGCAGATGGGAAATTGGATAGGTACCATACACTTCCAAAAGGAGTTGTTGCTGCTGTACAGTTGGAGATTGCTTCCGATTAGGAGATCACTCATTTTGTGATTCCTTCATAGAAACAATTTTCTCTGTGTTTTCCTCCCCAGATTTGACGAAACTTACCTGCGTCAGCGAATCACCTCGTCAGAGGAGGATCAGGAAAACAAGAATAACAGTAGCGGTTTTGAATTGAGCAACGGTCCAGAAATACGCAACACGGCTGTCAGGATACGATTCCAGCTTGGTGATGATGACGGTGGAAACAACGAGGCCGAGGTGTGACGGATGTGGTCCTGGAATTTGGCGTGGCCTGGAAATGGTGTTGGGGCATGGCGCTGATGGGTTTGACCTTAAATGGGTGCAACTGTAAATTGGCATGGCCTTCTTTGGCACGACCATAAAATGGGTGTGGCCTTAAGTGGGTGTGGCCTTAAGTGGGTGTGGCCTGATGTGCATGGCCCAATGGACATGGCCTGAAGGGCGCTGTCCCACATGGACATGGGCAGGGTGTAGTTGATGGCAGGGACATTCTTGTCAAGCATAAAAATTTGAAACAACTGAGGTGGTGCTTACGAAAGACGACAGGCTTTGGTATTGAGGATGTGGCAAGCAAAAGGGTGTGGCCTTGTGTGGGCGTGGCCTAGTGCATGATATGAGCAACGCGGAGGACACTCTTAAACAAAACTAATGAGACATTTTTTGGTTAAGAGTGTGGGCAGTGTTAGGCCTGGCATAAAGGGGCGTGGCCAGGAGCAGTCTTCATCAGTGGACGGTAGTTTGTTTCCTACATCTATCCTCGGTTGGAAGATGCAGTCATTCGCTACTTATCTCAACTCACATTAAAAGAAACAAAATTGTACCGAAGACGATGAATCACTCACCACTATGATATAGACTTCACCTCAAGCGGCACAGCTACTGTCCGTCTACTATGCAAACATTTTATATCGTAGATTAATGGCTCATTTAGACAAATTTGAGAAATGAAAAAAAGTTGACTTTATAATGATCCCCGGCTGCAATTGCCAAAGTTTGCAGCATTACGGTATGTGTTAGAATAGGGACTCTGGGTGCAGCCCCTGGCTAGTGCCCATGACAAAGAAAAACCTCAAAAAAATAATCGTAAAACAGCAACAACTGGTGTTTAGTTGATAGGAGAAACTGCAATGTACAGACCAGTGTAGACACTTTACAGCACTTGCTTGGGTTTTCCTAGTATAACAAACTAGAGGGAAAAAAATGATACATTATTAGACAATGCAGCCACAAATTCCTGTATCAAATAGTCAATTTAAAGACATTTTAGCCCATTTAAATAATAGAATACCACTGTATTAATATAATCTATGCAACATCGACAAGAATTTAGTTAAATGAATGAATTTGGTGCTCGTTAATATCAAGTGCAATTTTTTAGGAATGGTTGACGTGTGTGCCGAAAAACCTGTAGAATGTAAATATATCTGATATGACAACATGTGCATGAAGAAGATGTTATCCACCACTTTTCATTACTGCAGAACTGATTGGCGTTGCATACAATTTAGCTGTGGGTTTCAATTGTGAATTCCTGATTCCTTCAAAATCCTTCAAAATCCTCCACTGTGCAAGAATCCGGCTAGACTCACTATAAGGATTCTATTACACAAACATGTTGCATACAATTTAGCTGTGGGTTTTAATCGTGAATTCCCGATTCCTTCAAAATACTTCAAAATCCTACCACTGCATGTGCAAGAATCCGGCCAGACTCACTATAAGGATTCTATTACACAAACATGTTGCATACAATTTAGCTGTGGGTTTCAATCGTGAATTCCTGATTCCTTCAAAATCCTACCACTGTGCAAGAATCCGGCTAGACTCACTATAAGGATTCTATTACACAAACATGTTGCATACAATTTAGCTGTGGGTTTTAATCGTGAATTCCCAATTCCTTCAAAATCCTTCAAAATCCTCCACTGTGCAAGAATCCGGCCAGACTCACTATAAGGATTCTATTACACAAACATGTTGCATACAATTTAGCTGTGGGTTTCAATCGTGAATTCCTGATTCTTTCATAATCCTCCACTGTGCAAGAATCCGGGTAGACTCACTATAAGGATTCTATTACACAAACATGTTGCATACAATTTAGCTGTGGGTTTTAATCGTGAATTCCCGATTCCTTCAAAATCCTTCAAAATCCTCCACTGTGCAAGAATCCGGCCAGACTCACTATAAGGATTCTATTACACAAACATGTTGCATACAATTTAGCTGTGGGTTTCAATCGTGAATTCCTGATTCTTTCATAATCCTCCACTGTGCAAGAATCCGGGTAGACTCACTATAAGGATTCTATTACACAAACATGTTGCATACAATTTAGCTGTGGGTTTTAATCGTGAATTCCCGATTCCTTCAAAATCCTTCAAAATCCTCCACTGTGCAAGAATCCGGCCAGACTCACTATAAGGATTCTATTACACAAACATGTTGCATACAATTTAGCTGTGGGTTTTAATCGTGAATTCCCGATTCCTTCAAAATCTTTCAAAATCCTCCACTGTGCAAGAATCCGGCCAGACTCACTATAAGGATTCTATTACACAAACATGTTGCATACAATTTAGCTGTGGGTTTCAATCGTGAATTCCTGATTCCTTCAAAATCCTACCACTGTGCAAGAATCCGGCTAGACTCACTATAAGGATTCTATTACACAAACATGTTGCATACAATTTAGCTGTGGGTTTTAATCGTGAATTCCCAATTCCTTCAACATCCTTCAAAATCCTCCACTGTGCAAGAATCCGGCCAGACTCACTATAAGGATTCTATTACACAAACATGTTGCATACAATTTAGCTGTGGGTTTCAATCGTGAATTCCTGATTCTTTCAGAATCCTCCACTGTGCAAGAATCCGGGTAGACTCACTATAAGGATTCTATTACACAAACATGTTGCATACAATTTAGCTGTGGGTTTTAATCGTGAATTCCCGATTCCTTCAAAATCCTTCAAAATCCTCCACTGTGCAAGAATCCGGCCAGACTCACTATAAGGATTCTATTACACAAACATGTTGCATACAATTTAGCTGTGGGTTTCAATCGTGAATTCCTGATTCTTTCATAATCCTCCACTGTGCAAGAATCCGGGTAGACTCACTATAAGGATTCTATTACACAAACATGTTGCATACAATTTAGCTGTGGGTTTTAATCGTGAATTCCCGATTCCTTCAAAATCCTTCAAAATCCTCCACTGTGCAAGAATCCGGCCAGACTCACTATAAGGATTCTATTACACAAACATGTTGCATACAATTTAGCTGTGGGTTTCAATCGTGAATTCCTGATTCTTTCATAATCCTCCACTGTGCAAGAATCCGGGTAGACTCACTATAAGGATTCTATTACACAAACATGTTGCATACAATTTAGCTGTGGGTTTTAATCGTGAATTCCCGATTCCTTCAAAATCCTTCAAAATCCTCCACTGTGCAAGAATCCGGCCAGACTCACTATAAGGATTCTATTACACAAACATGTTGCATACAATTTAGCTGTGGGTTTTAATCGTGAATTCCCGATTCCTTCAAAATCTTTCAAAATCCTCCACTGTGCAAGAATCCGGCCAGACTCACTATAAGGATTCTATTACACAAACATGTTGCATATAATTTAGCTGTGGGTTTCAATCGTGAATTCCTGATTCTTTCATAATCCTCCACTGTGCAAGAATCCGGGTAGACTCACTATAAGGATTCTATTACACAAACATGTTGCATACAATTTAGCTGTGGGTTTTAATCGTGAATTCCCGATTCCTTCAAAATCCTTCAAAATCCTCCACTGTGCAAGAATCCGGCCAGACTCACTATAAGGATTCTATTACACAAACATGTTGCATACAATTTAGCTGTGGGTTTCAATCGTGAATTCCTGATTCTTTCATAATCCTCCACTGTGCAAGAATCCGGGTAGACTCACTATAAGGATTCTATTACACAAACATGTTGCATACAATTTAGCTGTGGGTTTTAATCGTGAATTCCCGATTCCTTCAAAATCCTTCAAAATCCTCCACTGTGCAAGAATCCGGCCAGACTCACTATAAGGATTCTATTACACAAACATGTTGCATACAATTTAGCTGTGGGTTTTAATCGTGAATTCCCGATTCCTTCAAAATCTTTCAAAATCCTCCACTGTGCAAGAATCCGGCCAGACTCACTATAAGGATTCTATTACACAAACATGTTGCATACAATTTAGCTGTGGGTTTTAATCGTGAATTCCCGATTCCTTCAAAATCTTTCAAAATCCTCCACTGTGCAAGAATCCGGCCAGACTCACTATAAGGATTCTATTACACAAACATGTTGCATACAATTTAGCTGTGGGTTTTAATCGTGAATTCCCGATTCCTTCAAAATCCTTCAAAATCCTCCACTGTGCAAGAATCCGGCCAGACTCACTATAAGGATTCTATTACACAAACATGTTGCATACAATTTAGCTGTGGGTTTTAATCGTGAATTCCCGATTCCTTCAAAATCTTTCAAAATCCTCCACTGTGCAAGAATCCGGCCAGACTCACTATAAGGATTCTATTACACAAACATGCGGTTCTTGTCAGAGGGCAGGAGTTTGGCTAGGATTTTCATGGTTAATAGGTCAACTCTGGTTAAGGCCAAAAAAAAAAATTCTCCGGTTTCTGGTATGGAGCTTGCCCAAAAAGTGGTGCGGCGACGCGGCTTGTTTTTTTTTTACCCGATTTTTTTGCTTCAAATGTCGGCTGATGACTGCAAATGGTGCCTGACTAAACTTAGTGCAAACATATGGGAGTCCAGAGAGGCCACATAAAGCTTATTCTCGACCATAACCCAATCTAAAAACACGTTTAAATTGTGCAGCAGCAGGATTCCAGTCAAACCAGTGAGTTTGGTGGTTTTGAGACATCATCTTTCATTGTAAAAAAACCTTTTTCATTTTGCACGCGCGCACATACCAGAAACCGGAGACTTTTTTTTTTGGCCTAAAGGGGCTTTATTTGGCTATGTTTGAATGAGGAATTTGTGAAATACGTAATTTTTTGACCAACAAATGTCGGAGTTTAACAATTGAGCAAAACGGAGTGCGCTTTGCAGTACGTTGCCTGTGGGAGGTGTGTGGAGGTGAAAGAAGTGCTGCCAAAAATTATTCAAGTGGATGATTCGTTGGATTTTGAAGGATCTGTTGAAAAGTAAGGGTCAATGGAAATATATCATTGGTCGCACCAAAAAGTACACAAAAGCTGTCTCTTATGAATCAGATGCACACTTACTGCACAAGCAACACTAAACCAATAAATAGTTATTTTTTTAAGCAAGGAGATATGTAATAATATGTTGAATTTTCTTTGTATATATTAAGGTAATATTACAAGTAAAGGCCTGCTGAATATGTCAAGAAAGGAAACCAGTGTGTTTTATTTTAGTGATATAAAATTGTTTTTTTTTGCAGTAACGGTATCTGTTTCTGATAGAGTAGCATGCTGGATAACGATCACAAAGTATCATGGGTAAAACATCGTAACGTGTAACAACCAATTCATTAAAATGGTGACAGTTACCCCAGAGGAATATAAAAAAGACTGATAAAATGTTGAAGTTTTGTAGTGGGCATTATATTGTTCTAAGACACACAATTACAGAGTAGATGTTGTGGGTTTATTTTATGATAATTATTCCTTTTTGGTTGTTTTTTTTTCAAGATGAAAAGCATTTTAGTTTCAAGCTTGGCTTATGCAGAAAAATAATCTGATGTCTTGGTGACAACAGTTTCAGACTTGAATTAAGACCAATGGAGTACTGAAACTGAGTACTGAAAATGTGGTCTACTTAACTGTAATAGGTCTCTCTCAAATGACGTCATTTCCTTCAGACCAGCCACGTGCATCGGCATTTTGAGTGTCGACTTGCATAACGCACATCGGCTGCGTCGTATTTCAGACACATTTTGAGCAACAAGCGCATGTTTGGAACATTTTTAACGCTGCATTTTCAATGCGTGCTTGTTGCGTAAAATACGCAGTAGCAGTTCTCCTACAGAGATGACCGTCTTTGAGAGAAACCTATGGGCCACCAACAGGGGGTCTAGTCTCGTTCCAGTTGAAAATAGGTATGACTGATGTACAAGGTACACACCTCCCAACCTGAAGCTGGGTCTATGCTGAACATGTGTAGTCTTGGTTCAAGATAATGGATTTTTTTCCTGGTTAGCACATGCTGTGATATAGTATTCAAGTGAATCAGGATGATACTCCTGCATCTTGAGCCAAGACTAACTGCCCTTACATCATTTCTAAATTGATATGACATTAACCTTATAAAAAGAGTTCATTTCTGTAATTAATATGCAATTTTCAGGAGCAATTGAATTTTTGACATTACGTGGGCAGGTTTTGAGGTCTTGTACGATTTTTACCAAGGTCAAAATATTTTTTTATACGAATTAAGGTCACTGTGTATTGTATATATAATATATTGGCACTTCATGCTGCGCATATTGTTGTACATTGGAAGAATGGACAGTAAAGAGTAAATAATGTTCAGACAAGAAAAATGTCTTCGAATGTGCAGTTTGTTGGCGTCCGTGTCTTTGTTTGTGTCTTGAATGAGGAACAAGTGTTTTGGGTAAGATCGGCCGAATTCGTGGGGCTTTTAAACATTCGTCAGAAATTCAGCCGATTTTTTTAGCTGAATAATGAAAAATAAATGAAAAAAAAAATGGTAAAAAGTGACAAAATGCCCCCAAAGTCTGATAAAGTATGCAATAAAGTATTTATTCTTTACATATTATGCACATAAATACTTACATATACGAGAAAAAACACCTACCAACCATGTTTTTGGCCTTATTTTTTCAACACGACATCCAGGTCGCAAATTGTTTTATGCAACCAAGAATTGTCGACTATCCAGTTCCGTAGTGTGACGTCATCTGAACTAAACCACGAGTACTTCACACGATGTAGCATAGCACAAATGGAACCGGAAGTTAACACAACTTGAGCGTTTATCCAATGGCGCTAGTAATCAGTGGTGCGCGCATGTGTATGATGTTTTCACTAACGAACTGGATAATGTGCATGCATCGGTAACGAAATATGGTTCTCGGACTAAAGTTCCTTTTTTAAGACAACACTCGAGAGCCATGAATAAAATAAAAAAAGTATTATTTCATCGATGCAGAAGAAAAATTTGCATTCCAGCCACGAAAGAGTTGAGGTTTGCAAAACTTTTCTTCATGACCTTTTTTGGCAAGTTTTTGTCCTTGTATTAAGCCCACAAAAAAGTGCATTATGAGTGGATTTTTGCATATATAAATACAACTACAAATGACCATGGAGGAAATGACTTAGGTATTGAATACTCAATTTTTATTGCTCTAAGAGAATTCATTGCTTTACTATATCACCGGTGGTGAAAAAGGCAGTATTTTTATTCTTTGTTGTATAACAAGGCACACGTATTTCTAAACACCTTTACAAGTAAAGTTACAGCGCACTGTGACACAAAATATACAAAATATACATAACTTTACAAATAGATGTGGCACTCCATAAGGCTTGTAAAGGCATTTCTTTTTAAATATTTATATTAACATACAACATGTATTGCTTTCCTCTATGGGCCAAGTCAAATAATATTGCTAAATTAGGGGGATTTTCGCTACTGTTATCGGTCAAATTCATGTACAAGGTAAAGATATATTCTATTTAATCATTCCAGACTTCTATTTTTTTCAAATACTGGCTTTGTCAGACATCCATTGATGACCAAAAGCCAATAGACAATCCATTAACCCTCCTAAGTATGCAATCATACATTCTGTGCCAAGTAGTCCTTTCAGTCAAAATCAATCAAGTGACTGGCTGTGACTGTTATGTAACTTGATACAGCTTCGCTTTGACTGTAGGTGATTGTAAAGCCAGCTGTGCCTACCTCTTGCCTGCCCTGCTTTGTCTGTTCATGGTCTGTTGACTGAGTTTGACTGGTCACAGTGCTTGCTTGACATATGTGACCTGGCACCACAAAATGGGTGGTTGCAAAATTTAAAAAATGAGATTATGACATTTCTGGAAAGAGAAAGTCATAAGCTTTTAAATGATGTATTGTCTGTTGCTGTAGCTTGTTCCCAGCTGTTGCTATACCCTTTTGAAATTGATAGAGTCATGCCCCATTGTTTTAAGAAAACAAGGCTTAAAGTTTGTGAACCGTGTCAACTATACTCACAGTGCATGTGACCCCAAATCACACTAGCAACCAAGATGTTCCTTTTGCTCAATCGTTCAGCACAAACGTTAACTGTCAGCGAAACACAAAAATGTATCTTGAGGACCTACATAGTACAATAGAATTTAAAAACATATGTACATACATAACAGGTCAACAGTAACAGCATGTATAATCACCCTCCCCCCCCCCCCAGAAAAAAAATATCCAAATGTTTAGATAAAAAGGCACTTAATGAAATATTTATATTTCAAAATGGAAATGTTTCCTTTGCTGTAGCTCATGAAGACAGAAATCATTGTGATCCCTTAAAAAAAGTGACAAGAATATTAAGTAAATTAACACACATCGCAAATACAAAGGGAATATTCTTTTCTTAAAAAGAGGCCTGAACATTTTCTATTTCTGACAATTAAATCATTAGAAATATAACTTTTCCCCAGCATATAAATGTAAACAGTCAAACACTTATATGATGTAATTATAAATGTCAACCGGGCTAGGCAACATGCTCTGATGACCCTGGACCTGTTTCAATAATGTTATGGTTTGCTATGTTGACCTGGACCTGTTTCAATAACTTTATGGTTTGCTAGTGTAAACAGCACAATACATTGAGCACCTACATTTATTTTAAGTACATTCAGGGATGTGAGTGACCACTGATAAAAATAGCTAAAAACAGCTGAAAAAGGTGTAAAAAGCTGAACTTTGGCAATCTGCTATACTTTTGTACACAGCAAGTGAGGGAAAAAAGCTGAAATCCAAAACAATAAAAGCTGAAATCAGCTTTTAAGCTGAGATTTCACACCCCTGTACATTGCAGAACAGATCTTTAGACAAGTGTCAGGACCAGTCCGAGAATTCAGAAGATCATTGTGCAATTAGTCTCTAATGTCAGAGATCCTAAACAACGCTGGCAAACAGAAATGTAAGTACTCCTCTTTGCTGACTTGAAGAGGCTTTGACCCTGGACTTTCCTCCACTGCTAGAAATAAGAAGTGGGAGACTGGTGGAGTGGTTCGCTCCTGGTGTGCAATCCGTGATGGTGAAGAAAGTCCACGATGATGGGGTTTAATTGTCTTGCTCCTGTGCTTTTGACTCTTAATTTTCTGGAGAACCAAGAACCTTGAAGAAAAAGAAACAAAAGCTGAATTGAGAATGATGATGGTCTAGGACAAAATAGTTGGGTGTGCCCATATTGACTGGTGGCGGTGCTGGTGCAGTATCCTCCCAAGACATTGCCGAAGGGAAATGAAAAGCTCCCTGGATTACCCTGGGATGCTTAAGTTTAACAGGAACCCTCAACCATAGCAGCACAAGTTCAAAGCAGATACATTTTTCTCATTGTTTCAACCACAGATTCCACTTTAATAGACAACTTATAAATTTAGCCAAAACACAAATAATAAAGAACTAGTACATATGCAACATGATTGTGTCATACATTCTCAGTTAATGGTCAACAAGATAATTGCCAAGCGAATCGATTTCGGCCAATCCAGAGGCAGAATCTTTGGGTGATGTATTGTAAAACGTATATGCTACTTACTCGTCCATACATTGTATTCCAATGGCCTCTCCTTCCTTCCTGGAATTTTTCATAATATTTGTTTCCTCAAGTTGATGAACTTCTCTCAGTAAAGTTCCTCCGTCCCTGTTTACAAATTGATGTTTGAAGTTAGTACAAATTGGAAATATCATATAAAAACCTGTCAGGCCTGTAAAATTGTTGACCCATTCACCATTGTATGTAAACCTTATTTAGATGTAGGGAAATTTGCTAGTTAGAAATAAATAAGTACAATCTTAAGGAATTTACATAAAGGGAAGGACTTACATAATCCAGGATCACGGAAGAATTAGGGCCGTCTCCACTATACCGAATATTTGAAAATCTGATCATCAACCAAATATTTAAATAGTTTTGAATATTCGAGGAAAAAGAAGAAAAGTTGTGGCACTTTATTGCCAGATGCCACTTTTTTTTTAATAAAAAAAAAATTATTGTAAAACGCTCTAGCGGTCCATAATTGATATTGATCGCCGCCCTTCGTGTGCAACTTTTGACTGGCTCTGCAAGCAGTTGCAGGTGGCCTGTGTAAAAATGAATCAGAGAGTTTCAAATAATCAAATATTCGGTGGATTCGTACATGTAGTTCCGAAAAATCAAACACTAATTTAAGTTATTTGTAAATGGACAGCCCTAGAGAGAATTGACAAATTGCAATGCGAAAGATAAATGTTCATCATCTTCACACTCCCCCCCCCCCAACCCTCCCCAAAAAAAATCCCCGCAAAGAAACACCCAAAACACTACATGATTCTTTCCAAAAACAAATTCATCAATAGTTCCATGTACATTTTTTTGGTAAGATAATAATTCTGTGTACTGTACATATGTATAGGCTTACAAGTACTCATGTAAATGACTAATTAATAGTCACCAGCAACTTTATTCTAACTTGTTTGATCCAACCTCATTCAAGTTGGCAAAGAACTACATGTAACTGACACTTACTGACTCTGTCATTGTTTTCAAAATTTGATGTGAATAGTTGATCCACATTGAAGCTAATAATAGCCGGTGTTCTTCATTTTATCCCATGTCATTGCACACCATTTTCTGATCACAAATACCTTAGTCCATGTCAAAGACACTGATAGCAGTAACTACAGGGAAGAGCTCTCTAACTTCAGCAGCAAACTTTGTTATAATGTAACAATGGAACTTGCAATACACTTACAGGCCTTAGCACAACTTGACCATAAAATACTGCACATTGTTTTGTAGGTAGCCTTTCCTGTTAATTAGCCTCATACATAAGAGAGATAGTAGCTCTGAGCTCCAAATAGGGTGGGTGGGGAATAGGGTGGTGTTGGGGAGGGTGGGGAAAGGGTGAGGCGGGGTTGGATGGGGTGGGGTGTGGTTGGGATAGGAATGGGTGGAGGTGGGGGGAATGGGGACAGGGTTGGAGATGGAGACTGTGGGGAGGGATGGGGATTCGGTGGGGACGGGGTGTGGTCAACATGGTGGCTGTAGTACGAGGACCTTCACTGTACATGTATGTCAAGATAACACAGGTATCCATACCAGTGCTTTTAAGTCTTAAATAAACGGAAATCTTCCCTAGCTGGTTGCAAGTACAATGTTTTCAAAAAGATTCATCAGCTCGCAGAGCCCCTCGTACTCCAATTTTATTATACATCCCATAAAAAGAAAGGAATGAGGAACGGCCCTGCTGATGCTGATAGCATTCCCATCCCCCTCCCACCCATGTTTTAAACCCTTATTCACGGCGGCAACTTTCTTGGAATGACTTTGGAACTTTCCAACAAGTTATTAGTATCAACAGATTGTTCCCTGAATTTTGCTCGCACAAAATCGGTTCTTCCTTGCTATTTTCCTAGCCAGAAAACCACTTCTATTTAAGAAAACACAAGTCTGATAAAAACTTTAATGCATGGTGGCGGCCAAACTCCATTCTATTTAACTTAAAATGTAGTGGCGACATAATGATTACGCCCCTTCCTATTAAACACAAGTACATGAAGAATGAAGGCGCCACCTATTGCCAAGAAAGATACAGTTACGCGACGGGCGACGGCACGACGCGACTGGCGACGGCACGATGCGACGGCACGACACGACGGGCGACGGCACGACGCGAAGGGCGACGGCACGACGCGACGGGCAATGTGTGCGTCGCCTCTTCAAGCAGTCTACTTAGAAGCGCCGAGGTAACAGGCGACAGCACGACCCGTCGGGCGACAGCACGACGCGACGCGACAGGCGACGCGACGGGCGATGGCACGACGCGACGGGCAATGTGTGCGTCGCCTCTTCAAGCAGTCTACTTAGAAGCGCCGAGGTAACAGGCGACGGCACGACGCAACTGGCGACGGCACGACGCGACGGACGACACGACACATGACGGCACAACGCGACGTGTGAAGGTGCGTCGCTTCCTCATGCAGTGTACGTGCTTAGAAACGGTAATTTAAGAGGCGACGGCACGACGCGACGGGCGACGCGACGGGCAACGCGACGGACGACGCGACGGTACGACGCGACGCGACGCAGATTTGGCGTCTATAGAACACCATACGTATGGATAAAAGACAATTATAACATACAATGTAAAACATCAAAATACACAATACAATTACAATGGCTATCAGGAACAACTAACATACGTACATGTACATTCATATACATGATTTTTAACATAAAATAGTTCGAATTTGGTGGCAAAAGTAAGCTCTGGCAATGAGATAAATGTGGCTAAAGATATGGCAGCTCTGACTTCCTCTGATTGGGCGGTCTATCGTCTCAAATCACCACAGCTTTTGCTGTTGGCCACGTCTTCTCCGCCACAGCTTTGATGGGCTCACCTCCGTCAAGGGCACAGTAGTCTATCTTTTTCTTCGTCCTTAATTCCATCAGATTCTAATAAGGAAATAAAGGAATTAAAAAACATTTATATTTTATTTTTTCCTTTTCTAAACATGCATACGGGGTCTTCAGCTTGTTGTTAGGCCATCGCATGAACATAACAGTAAATTGCGTTCCTTTTTGAGTTGATACCTCCAACCAAGTTCAACTAGGCTGCTAAACATTACAGAAATATCTACATTAATAATATTTAGTCAATAAAACATGTGCAATTAGTGCACACCACTGTTCACCCACGTACAAACACTGTCTAATCACACCTAAACAAAAGTGGACTTGGCCAGAAATCACAGCGTGCCTGCACCCGATTTCACGAAGCGCTGCGACGCGTCGCAACTCAAGTTACGACGTGTAACACGTCGCAACTCGCGACGCGTCGTATCTTCCATTTCACTAAAGTTGCGATGTGTTGAACGCGTCGTAAATTCCTTGACAACGGCTTAAAACACGTTGCAAGTTACGACGTGTCTAGTGGTCATCGCAAAATAAGAAGAGTCATTTCTAAGCCAGTTTTATGCCACAAACATTACATTAACAAGATTATATAATACCGAGGCAATGTGTGTAAAGTTGTAAATAGAAAATTCATTGAATAATTATGAATTAGACCGAAATATTAGAGTTGAAATTTCAAAGTAGCTATACAGTCCAATGAGAGCTTGTTTTCCTTCAAAATTGCATCGCACGGCCGCCAGTTTGTTTTACGTTTTAACAACTTTCGAGCTGAGTTCCGACGACTCTTTGTTGAATATCAGACGACTATTTACTGTACACTGCCTAAAGACATAAAACAGTCACCGAGTTGTGCTATAAATACACCTACGACGCGTCGCACTTACGACGTGTTTAGTGAAATGGATCGCAGGACGCGTCGCAGCTGTGACACATCGTAGAGATACGACGCGTCGCAGCGCTGCGATGCATCGTAAGTTACGAAGAGTTTGATGAAATCGGGTGCTGGCCTTGCTCAAGCCACGCACGGCGTGCCAAGAAAGCTGCTTCCATTGCATAAGAAGCCAACATTTACATCACAGTTACAATGTCTTCTGATAAAGTATCTTCATATTTGTTTAGATGCAGAGAATCTTTATACTGTAAGCTTGAATATCATATAGTTTTTAGAGTCCCTGAGGAATTGTAAAGGGGAGAACTTACCGGAGAGAAACAGCAAGTTGGCAGCACAACGATGGGAGTAGGTCGATTATCATCTGTTGATCGTACACGTTCCAATGCAGTTTCAAAAAGCGCTTCTGATTAGCGCAAAAAAATTTAGGCTGAAATGGACGGGCTTTAACATTGGCCAATCAACTTCATTTTTACATTGGACAAACTCATGCTGTTTATTTTGTAGCTCGAACGAAAGAAATCGGTAGAGGGCGTCCAGAATTGTGAGTTCATATGAGCCGCGTTGTGTGACACGATTCTTCGTGAACATCGTTTTTGCATTGTAAAATTGGAGATACCGACTGTTTGTACTTGAAAAATGACGGATCTTTAAAGTGATTAAAAAATAATCTAAATATATATTTAAAAAGAGGAATAATAAACTTTCAATTTGCCGAAAGAACGAACTTGAAAGCATCGATCGAGGGTTCAAAAGTTATGTTCTCAAAAAGGAAAAAAATCGTGCGTTTTTTGAGGTTTTCTGGAGGATTTCCGCTTTGCACAAATTGCAGCGGAAGCCTGTCGCTTAGGTTGCGCTAAGAAATTCATATGGACGCGATGGTACGACGCGATGGCACGACGTGAAAGCACGACGCGACGCAGATTTGGTGTCTATCATGTCTATAGCCCCACTAGTGTGGCCGTCGGTATGCTGCGCTGAACCTAAGGCCACACACCGTGGTCCGCGCACTACTGAGGACGTTTTCATAAAATTTGCAGGGAATTTCTGACATATGGTTGTATTCTACGATGTCCCATCTATCACTTCTGGGATGCTTAGGTGTAATGATGTTCAATTTTCCGAGATATTCTTGAATCTTTCTGGAGCCCATATGCACTCGTGAAACGTTTGGTGATGGCAGCCATTTTGAATGTGACAAGAGATGACCTCAAGCTGTGACGTCGCGTTTATGCAAATTGCTTGTCGAGCGAGGGCGCGAGTTGCAAATGCGACGGCTGTTTCCTGTACCATGCATTTATCGTCTGGGGGCCACGTGCACTGATCTCTATTCAGGATCTACGGCACTTCCCAAATCTCGATTTTCTTTTCCAAACGAAATTCAAAGGATTATAATTTTCAGTAAAAAATAAATTACTTGTTTGTTTTTGCAGGCCTTTGTGTCTTTGGTTTTAAGTGGCACATTTTGTTTCAGTGAGGAAGTTATTAATTTGAAATAACTATTTAGGCCTTTCATTTCATGTATTAAATTGTTTGGTTTTGTTTAATTCACATGCTGGCTTTGAATTTTGTGGGATTTTTTTATGAATCTGTTTAATTTTAATAATTTTTAAAACTTTTTTCCCCCGTGGAACATCATAGTCGAACATACCGGCAGCTACCTGTAAGGCCTTGAAGGATAATCTTCCCAGAGCTCCAACACTCCTTTTTGATGATTGACAGTGCATCTATTTGTAGGGGATTAAACTTGATCATTTTTTAATTCACATGCTGGCTTTGAATTTTGTGGGTTTTTTTTACGAATCCGATTAACTTTTTATACTTTTTTGATTTAACTTTTTGTTTAATATGGAACCTTTCGTTTTTCTTGCAGTGTATGCAATGGTGTTTATGTGGGTTTTTTTTTTAAAGAGATTAGAATAGATCGTTTTTATATCTTATTTATTTTATTTATTGACATAATGTTTACTTATATTCATTGAGTTAATAATGTTATGTTTGAAAGTGTTTATGTTTTAATGCCATACTTTCCAATTTTATTTTTCTATGAAGATCTGTCTGTTCTTAATTTGTATACTCGTTACGTTGAAGTTTGGATTAAAAACGAAATAAATTGCTGTTAAATTTAGCAAGATGGTGTGAGCGATGTCAATTAATATGTTTTAATGAAAATAAATAATTGGTTAAACTTTTAAAGCGAAATATGTTTTAATGGAAACAAATAAAAATAATAAATAATTAATTACACTTTTAAAGCGCATTTCAAAATAGCATTTCAATGCGCTTTACAACGACAAAAATGTTATACTGCTGCAATACAGATATGAGATAATTTACCTTACAATTACAATGAAAATTTATACTAAACAGCATCACTGTAATAACAGATGAGAAGTGGACAAACTTTATGAAATGAATGATTGAAAACGATGTCGAATGATTGAAAACGATGGGTCCGAGTTGGTCATGCATGGGTCCGAGTTGGTAGTGGGTCCGAGTTGGTTGTAGACCCGAGTTGGTAGTGGGTCCGAGTTGGTCGTGGGTCCGAGTTGGTAGTGGGTCCGAGTTGGCATGGGTCCGAGTTGGTAGTGGGTCTGAGTTGGCATGGGTCCGAGTTGGCTTGGGTCCGAGTTGGTTTGGGTCCGAGTTGGATCGAAACCAAACTAAAAGTCCATCACCGATCGCGAAAGTCCATCACCGATCGTGAATATGCATCACCGATTGCAAAAGTGTATCACCGATTCGATGGCGTTCCATATGAAGCGCCCGCAAGCGTTCTTAACTCTTTCGCTACGGAATTTAATTTACCTTTTTTGTCCCAACTGGACGTAATTCAAAGCTGGAAATTCGGCCGAGCGTCGATGTGGGCGCCGCCATCTTTAAATGTAGGCATCTTCGTAAACAAACTGCCCACAAATCACAATAAAAAGTGCGTTTTGGCGGTCATAACCAAGAATTGGTTCGGTGGTTTCTCTTTGGTTAATTGTTTTGGGGATTTGAGTACTACATGATCCATGTGTAATTCTAACCCAATTAAAATTGCCGAAGAAATTCACAGACAAGAAACCACCGGCAGCAACCTCGTCCCCAGGGTCTCGAGCAGTACGCGCCCACGCGGTTGGAAATAAAGTAAGAACTGGGGACGAGGTTGCGCTGGCAGCGGCTCAAACCAGGGTCAGAAGCAACCTCGTCCCCAGGGTGTCGAACAGTACGCGCCCATCACTACCTGCTCTCTGGGTGTCGGACGCTTCGCCCCATTTCCACGTCGCCCCATGTCACTTCGCCCCTTAACCACTTCGCCCCATCCCCACATCGCCCCATCCCCGCTTCGCCCCATCCCCACTTCGCCCCATCCCCACTTCGCCCCATCCCCACTTCGCCCCATCCCCACTTCGCCCCATCCCCACTTCGCCCCATGTAGTATGAAAAAGGTGAAGGCTAGGGGTGCAGACCAAATAAACTGCCAAAGACCCCAGATAATAAATGCTCCCAATTCTAGAAACTTAGGAAAAATACAAACTCTCTGATGAGGTGCTCGAGACACAGATGAGAGAAATGATGGCTCGCATTCAGAGACGCCTCTCCTATTGGCTTGTGAATCATCAGCCGCTGAAAGCGGCTGGATTCAAAAGAATCCGTAGGTATGGGTCAGTGAGTTAAAAGGAACTCACTGCCTTGAGGAAAATGTTCCGTCAAAATTTGTCTGATATGTGACACTTACAACTTCATTTAGATGAGATTGGTTCCTCCAAGAGTGAAATTAGGATGCCAAAGGTATTGTCGTTCTCAGATAAGTGGGAGACGGGTTGGTATAGCCGGGTTGGGAACAAAGTTGGATCTTTTACTTCAAGCTTTTTTCTTGGTAGGGGAGAGCCTAGCTTGAAAGGTTGGTTATGAATTGTTCATTTGGTGATGGGCTAATTCTTTCCGTTGGTTAGCAATTAGTGAATCTGTTGAAATTGTTTTTTAAGCCAAAAAAATAGATGAGATTTTTTTTTACATGTAACGGCTGGGGCGAAGTGGGGATGGGGCGAAGTGGGGATGGGGCGAAGTGGGAATGGGGCGAAGTGGAAATGGGGCGAAGTGGGGATGGGGCGATATGGGAATGGGGCGAAGTGGGGATGGGGCGAAGTGGTTAGGGGCGAAGTGACATGGGGCGACGTGGAAATGGGGCGAAGTGTCCGACATTCCTGCTCTCTCACCCTGGTATTGGATCATTTGCATGTGCAAGATGTTTTCACCATATTCAAATGAGGAATAGTGTGGTGCCTTGGATATGCTTTACATTAGCGTTTGTTTTTGTATGCGGTGTGTCTGGGGTAACAACAGAGTATATGTGATCAATGCAATATTATTAGTCATCTAATAAGATAAGATCATTATTAGTAGGATTTTGTGTGTATTTGAGATGGGCGACGATCCAATCATTACATATACAACGTAGGGTTCCCGTCCGTGTTGTCAAATTCGACTCAAAACTGGATATTTCACCTGTGCTGCAGATTGCGTTGGTAAGTTGTGCTCTCAACAATGCCCATTCTCGTATTTGGCAAAGGGAATTTTGTTTTATTGATGGCGGTCTCTACTGAGTGTATCACCTTCTAAATAGATGTTCGATCCCATTAATATTAATAAATGCTTGATTTTGCTATTGCGGGATTTCTCATTTTGAAGCAATACATACATTTTGTTCATGTTGTTTGTGAGGTGGAATTCTCTATCCCTTGTCTGAATCATGGAAAGATTTCCATATCTGGCCATCACTATTTTTTTCCTTCAGTGACTAGTATCAGCCATCATAAAGTGATATGTCCTAAAAAAAAGTTTTCAAAAAGAAGTCAAATTTAGCAGGGAAAATATTGAAGCTTTTTCTGAGAAAACACTTAATTTTTTTTAGACCAGTCTCATACTCATAGGGTTTGTGCATAGGGTGACAAGTGATGGCCAGATATGGGAATCTTTCCTCAATCATAATAAAAAGGCTACTTTGCAGGGTCAAAATAAAATAGGACCCTTGCCAACTCGGACCCACTACCAACTCAGACCCATGGTAACAACATGTTTTTAATCATTCAATATGGAACAATGTTTGGCAAAAAATCATTGACATATCCCTATACCTATAAGGCTATATCAAAGTTAGTTAGCTCCATTTGTTTTCATTTAAAGAAATTAATTGCAACATCATTTTGCCATCTTTTCTCAATTTAACAACAATTTAATTCATGATTAATCCAAACTTTAAACGTAACGAAAACACAAATATAGCACATAAATTAAATAGAAACATTAAAATTGGAACTATGAAAACGGAAATATAAACAATTTCAAACATAATATTATTACTTACACATAATACTGCACAAAAAAAGTATTATGTAGACAAACTAAAGTGTATAAATAAAGAGATAAATGAAGTCGCAAAAATGTCCCTAGTGAAAAATTATATGGGCTCTGTGCACAAGTACCCCTTCAACAGCCAGAAAATAAGAGTTGGGGGTGACCTAGACTGGTTCCCGGTCCATCCACTGCGTATTTCTATTTTCTATTTAACTTAAATTAAATATAATAAGTAATTATTAAAAAAAAATTACTTGAAACAAATTACCAACTTACAAGCACCATTGCCTACACTTTAAATTACACAAAGAAAAATGAAAATCCCACATGAATTTAAAACGAGTGGACCGTGGACCGCATGTGTCACCCTTTAATGTAGTGTGTTCTTAACAAAAGTCAAAAAGTGGTATTTTTTAAACAACAAACTCAAATGACCCCTAGATGACCTCCAAGGAACACTCCAAGTTAAAATCCTTCAAATTCTGTAGACAGATTTGAACTATGACCTTTAATGACCCCTACCCAACCTTTGACTTTCAGTAATTCGATGAAGAATTGTGTCATACCACCCAAGGGTCACTGCATCCAAGTTTCATCAAAATCCATGAAAGCATGTAGAAATTATACACATATTTTTTTCACAATCTGAACCTAAACTTCTGTGAATTGCATCATAATTGACCTCATTTGACCTTTGACCTGAAATATATTCCACATTATCTTTGGTCCTCAATGACCCATGTGTCCAAGTTTCATGGTGAATATGTTTGTACTTAGGCAATGAGAGTAATCCAGAAACAATCATTTGGGCGACACAAAAACTGACACATTTACTTTAAAAAAAAATATAAATCATATTAAGTATAAAAGGTTAAACAAATGTGTACTACAAAAATCAAAGTCAGCATATTGTGAAATAAAATAATCAATTACATGAAATTAAGGGCCTAAATAGGTGAAATAATAACTTACAACACAGTAGTAAACGAAACGTGCCATTTCCAATTAATAAAAAAATATTTTAATTCAATTAGGCCGAATAAAAAAAAAATAGTTTCTCGTCCGGGTTTTTGAATAAAAGGAGGAAGAGGGGCTTTTTATTTTTTATTTTTTTCAAGATCACCGCCATTTTAAAATTTCCTGCAACCGTTGGTGTGTCCAATGTTCAAAGACACTTTTAAAATGAATGACAAGTTGGACAAGAGAATTTAACATATTTACAGTGTCATTTAGAGTTGTATTGGTCTACAATGAACAGTTTTAGATGCATTTGCTTTAACCACCGAATTTGTGGACTTTTTCTGTTTTTTTTTTACTGCATTTAAAAAAAAAAATAAATAATAAAAAAAATCCAGGCGGCCTCCAAAAAGGAAGCGGCAGGGACGAGAAACATGGTGTGTTTTTTTACTTCGCCTTACACAGCATTCGTAATAAAAAAAATATATGCACAACACCATTGCCTACACTTTAAATTATACATAGAAAAATAAGAGTTCCCAATTGATTTTTAAAACAATGAACACATTCAGAAAAAAATTATAATCACCCATCAAAAACCTAAACAACTTCATAATACATGTACGAAAAGTCAGCATATTCAGGGTTCAACTTAAGCAGTAGCCGGCTAGCCAAGGCCAAAAAGAAAAGTCTCCGGTTTCTGGTATGCGCGCGCGTCGCCGTAGCCATGCGCATCGGCAAAATGAAAAAGTTTTTTTTTCAATGAAAGATGACGTCTCAAAACCGCCAAACTCACCGGTTTGACTGGAATCCTGCTGCTGCACAATTTTAACGTGTTTGTGGATGGGGTTATGATCGAGAATAAGCTTTATGTGGCCTCTCTGCACTCCCATATAATCGCACTAAGTTTAGTCGGGCACCATTTGCAGTCATCGGCCGACATTTGAGGCAAAAAAAATAAAGGGGGAAAAAAAAGACGCGTTGCCACACCAATTTTTGGGCAAGCTCCATACCAGAAACCAGGGACTTTTTTGGGGGGGCCTTAACTATCCCACTGGCATTTTTACTAGTCCGCATGTTTTTTTTCTACAGAATGTCTCATAAACAACAATGTTCATACATGTGTATCCTGATTCAATCCTGTCAGTGCTTTTAATACAACAGATCTAATAATCTAACCCTAAACAGTTAATAAATTTAGATATAAAGTGATACAGGTTTGCTTTCTGAATTTAATATGTTTCTTCCTGTCCTTTCATCTTTGCCGTTATTTTTTGACTCGTCAGCCGAGCTAATTAAGGAATAGTTTGACTAGCCTGCTGCCGTTTTGACTACCATTTGGGCCCAAAAAAAAAGGCTCTGGTTTCTGGATTGGAGCTTGCGAAGTCATCTGCAAACAATCTAATTCTAATGAGGTTGCTTTCATTGATCTTAGTACATGTAGCAATGTCTAGCCCGACTGCATCTGGCAGTCGGGCTATAGATGCAGTCGGGCTATAGCAATGTCATGAATGATGTACAGCAGAAACATCAATGGGCCTAGGACTGTTCATTGGGGCACGCCAGACTGAACGTGCACTCCTGTTGATGATTCTCCGTCCAACAACTTGTACATCATCTACATGTTGTAATGTAAGTTGTGTCTGGTACAGTGACTCGGGACGAGTCGACCGTTGAGACAACTCGACCGTTGAGACAACTCGACCGTATGTGCGATAAATGGAAAGACAAGTCGACCGTTGAGACAAGTCGCCTCGCATGTTTTTGGGGATAGTACCGGGGATTGACGGCGGCTGATCACCATTTGGAAGTGATGACACACAAGTTTTTTTGTTGCATATAACAGAGCCGATATAACGCAGCGTGATTGTCTGTGCAAATCGTTCATTTTCCGGGCCTGTGCGCGCATCCCCAGTCAACTTGTCCGTACCGTGCACGGTGGCATCGTTTGTGCCGGGCGTGTGCATCCATTTGCCGCGCAGGTCGACGTGCCCGCGTGCCGGGCCCGGTCCTCGCGGGCAGGGCGGGGGGCGCGCCGGCCCAACGCGACGGCCACCGGATCGGAGTGCCCTCTGTGCATCGAGTATGCCCGCGCCCGGGACCGGTCCTGCCACAAATTTTTTCAACTTTTTCCGCTCCACGTGTATAAATTTCCATTAAGTAGAGCTGTCTCAACGGTCGAGTTGTCCCGAGTCGAGTTGTCTCAACGGTCGACTTGTCTCAACGGTCGAGTTGTCTCAACGTTCGACTTGTCCCAAGTCGAGTTGTCTCAACGGTCGACTTGTCTGACATTCCTGGTACAGTGGGTAGTGAGCTAATCCCGACATTGAATTTGACCCCCGCAGTGTAGTTTGGTCATGTTGGTCAGCAAACGTTAGTGTGGTAGTACTTTGCCAAATGCTTTTGCAAAGTCAAGGATGAGTACATCTTGTTGTACGCCAGAATCCAGCCCTCTGTGGATGACGACGACAGCTATGGCAGCTTTTTACCATACACTACACAGTACGTGCATGGAGAATTCTATTTCTCCATGGTATATGGAGTACGCAAAATGGGTATCCCGCAAAATCGACGTGTCTGCGCACGAAGGCAATTTTCAAGCATAGGTCGTCACGACGTCAGCTGCAGGTCGTGAAACTATTCTCCATCCAGTAAGTTTAAGTCCAGTTGTCTTGTTTCAACGTTATTGAATTTAACTACACAGGTTTCAAATACTGAAAAGCAGTGCCCTCTTTTTGTGATAGTTGCCAGAGCTGCGCTGAGAGACACTTTGATGCGCGGTGAACGTTGCATGCATATGCGTAAACTGCGTGCCACTGCCGGTGTCATATAAAAATCGGACTCGTATGAAAATCTGACTTTTTCCCCTTTTATTGGTTAAACCCTCTCACGTGACCGGTCCCCCTACAATTATCTATGCATGAGCATGCGCAATATTACCAATGAGTCCGCATTTCATAAAACCTAAATTCATGCTACACCTGCCAACCGCCTTTGTTTCGCACCATGGTGAACCTGGCCGCGTATTCGGCCAGATACAACAGCTGCGTATTCAGCCGTTAGTACGGTGGCCAATAAACAACATTACTGCTGTGATAAATTGTTGATATTTAATGCGGATTTCATCAAGGAGTGTACCTAAAATGCATCACGTCAGAACTATGTTCCAGGACGAGAGTATCACGTGATTCATAGCTTCCCTAGAGCTGAAACC